CCAGCAAGACAGACTTGGTGGCCGGTGGCCGGCTCTGACGGCCGCACCCTGCGTGCCGGGCGGCTCGGTAGGGACCTCGGGCTGTCGCCCCCTCCTGTTTCCTGTACCTGGAAGCTGCGCCCCGCAGGTCACCGAGTGGGGGGGCCGAGTCGGGCCGCCGGGGGGCCTGTCGGGACCGGCTTGCCACGCCCAGCGCGAGCGGCCCTCCCTGCGGGCAGGAGCGGCGGGCGGCGCCGACCGAGCCGGTCCAGCCCGGAGCCGTCGGGAGCCTCCTCGGCGCGGCCTCTCCCAACAGCGCGGGGCGCAAGGGGCCACCACCGCGCCCGCTATGCCAGTGGGGAAACTGAGGCCTGGAGAGGAGCGGCGCCCGGTCAGGTCACGCCGAGGTGCCGGAAGCCTGTCCCCCCGCGCCCCGCCGGGTCCCCCGCGGCGCGCCGAGCCCAGCATCCCTCCCAGGGCGCTGCAGCCGGAGGCGCCGCGCGCCCGCACCGTGCGCACCGGGAGGGCGCGGCTGGCGGCGCGGGCCGCCCTACCTTGGTGACGGCCGCGCAGGTGGCGGTGGTGGCGGCCGCTCCGGCTCCGGCTCCGGCTCCGGCTCCGGCTCCGGCTCCGGCTCCGCGCTCCTCGCCGCCCGCCGAGTGCCCGCGCGCGGCGCCGCCGCCTCCTGCCCCCGCAGCCGGGAGGGCGGGGCCGATGGGCGGGGCCGGGCACGAGCCCCCCCGCGCGCCCCGGGCCCCCTCCTTCCCCCTCTCGGCCCGCGCTCCGGGCCCCCGGGACCGGCCTCGGGGCGCGCGCACGCGCACTCGCCGCAGTGATGGGGCGGGCTGCCCGGCGGCCGCGCGGAGGCTGGGGTCGGGGGGGCGCCCCCTCGCTGCGCGCCGCGGGGCGAGGGTCTTGACCTCCGGAGCTCCGCTGCCCCCTGGGTGGGGTGGAACCGGAACCGTACCCGTGCGTGCGTGCGAGAGCTGCTCGGGACCTGCACGAGACGCTGGGTGCCCGGCCCGGCCAAGCGCGCGCGCAGAGCCCGCCACCGGGGCGGCGCCTGGTGAACCGCGGCCGCTGGAGGAATCCTTGCGGCTCCCCGGTCGGCGGCGGGAGCGCCCCGTTCTCTCGGCGGCCGGCAGGGGGCGCTGCCGCCCGGCCTCGCCGGCTCCGGGGCCTGAGCGCGCGGCGCGGACGGAGGGGGTGGGAGGCTTCTCCTTTTAACACAGCTCCTGCCGCCGCACGCTTCAGGGCATCACCTCGCTTTGCACGAGCCCACGAGGTTACACTATTGCTATGGTACGAATAAAGTAGCCGAGGCGCCGACGGGCTAAGCGGCGTTTAAGATCACACAGCTGGGCTCCCAGGCCCAAGCCGAGAGCCGTGCGCCACCCCGCCCGTCAGGGGCAGGGCTTTTGTCTCGTCCAGTGGGGTCCCTGGAGCACCCGGGGCAGGTGCCAGCTCCGGTGCGGTGAACAACAGCGTACTACGTACTTTACATGTAGTATTTCGTTTAATCCTCGTGACCCTTTCAGCCCCTAGTTCAGCCGCTCCTATTACCCCCCTTTACAGCTAAGAACGTTGAGGCTTAGAGCGGACTATCTCCTCGGAAAGAGGAGCCAGCCGCAGCCCGCGACTCCTTCGCTGGTCCCCGCCCCCCAGCCCCTCCCCGCGGAGGCCCCGCCCCAGGCACGGGGACCTCCGGGGGCCATGGGCTTATGGACTGCCGGCAGGTCCCTGGGGGGCTCTGCAGTACGCGCAACCCAGGACCCTTTCTGGGGCTGCTGCCTGTGTCCATGTATGTACACCTGTGTGCGGGGACAGGGTGGGGTGGGGGACCCTGTTCTGCTCCTTTCTCCCTAACCCTGGGCCTTTCGAGGAAGGCTACCCTCCCCCAAACATCTTATGAATTGCACACATGGGAAACTGAGGCCAGAGCAGGGATGACCTGCCCAGGGGCCCCTAGTTAGAAGACCATATGGTAGGCCTGGCCTCAGAGTTGGGTCCACCTGCCAGCATCTTCTATCGGGTCTTATGGTTGATTGGGACAGGCCAGGAAACCACTGCCCTCTTCCCTTCCTGTACATGTCAACACGGCCAGCCTCGTTTAATGGGCTACGTGTGGGCAAATATGCCTTGTGCAGGACCAGAGTGTGTGAGGAAGGGTGGCAAATTCTTCATCTAGCTGCCCAGAATGGAGCTGTCTGGGCAATATGGCCTGTGCCCTGGGAGACTGAACTCAAGAGTGAGGAACGGCAGTGCCTGGGAGGTGAGGTCCTGAGTGTGGGGGGAGCGGGAGTGGGGGTCTCCAAAGTAGTAGTAGTAGTCTCTTTATTCTTGAGCAAGTTGCCCCAGGGAGCCCCCTTCCCTATCCAGTGCAGCATGGACATGGATGGCAGCTTGTGGGGGCTGAGTGGGACAGAGATGCTCTGAGAGATCCCATCCCCTGGGGTAGGAAGGGGGCCTGTGAGGGATCAGATCCTCTGGCCCTAGAAGACAGCGTCCCCTGGGGAAGGGGGCAACAGCTGTACTGCAGAGCCAGGAATATGACACCAGGGGTGGGCCCCAAACAGCTGCCTTTCTGCCATTCTGGAAGAAGGGGGAGGGAGGGCAAGCAGCAACAGCCACAGACCTTTCCTGAGGTATGACACCCGCCTCCCCCCCTGCGCCAGTCCCTGGTACAGCCTGTCAGGTGGATGCATCTTCCATTTTCCTTTGCCTGGAACTATCCCAGGGGCCCTATACCACTTGGAGAGCTATAGGCTGGGCCTCTCTTTCCCCTGGATCCTTTGGTGTTTTAGGCCCCAGAGAAGTGGAGGTGAGCTGGAAAGAAGCCTCCCTGGTCTTACAGTTAGCACCTCAAAGGCTTGAGCATGGCTTAGCCACTCAGCAGCTGTGGGACTTTGGGCCAGTTCCTTAACCTCTCCAAGGCTTCACCTTCTTGTTTCCAAACTGAGTGTGGCCTGGAGTGAGCAGTGCTCTGGACAGTCAGTTCTCATTCCTGGCTCCAGCTCCAGCTCCAGCATCTCATTTCAGGACTGGAGGAAGCTGGACCAGAGTCAGTCCTGGGGTCTCCACCCCCCAGGCCCCACAACAGGCTGTGCGGGGCACACAGCACCAATATTCCTTAAAAGCTGCTTAGGTTGGGGCACCTGGGTGGCTCAGTGGCTGAGCGTCTGCCTTTGGCTCAGGCTCTTGGGATCCCCGCAGGGAGCCTGCTTCCCCCTCGGCCTATGTCTCTGCCTCTCTCTGTCTCTCATGAATAAATCAATAAATAAAGATCTTAAAAAAAAAAAGCTGCTTAGGTGATTCTATGGTGCAGCCAGGTAGATGCCAGGGGTTACCCTGCCCGGTCCATGAACAAGCACCACCCCCTCCCCTGGTCCAAGAGGGGCAAAGTGTAGGCACCCAGCTGGGGGGTGTTGGGGAGGAGAGATGAGGAAGGGAGAAGAGGGAGAGAGAGAGGGTGAGGAGAGTGGGCCTGAGGAGGAAGGGAAGACAAGGGAAGGAGGAGGGGGAGGGGAGGGGAGGGGAGGAAGGAGGCTGAGGGGGAGAGGAAGCAGGGCAGATAGGAAGGGAAGAAGGGAGAGGGGAGTGCCGCTTATCTTGACAGCCCCAGTCGTATCTGGGATTGTTTATTTTTTGCTGAGGAGGGACTCGGAATTTCAAGGCTGGAGCTGAAGGACCAGCTGGGCCCGGCCTTCCTGGAGCCTCGGGCCTCTTCAGAGCCCTCTGGGTGACGTTTCTCCATAAAGAGGCCACTCCCTGCTGGAGGTGGCACTTTACTCTGTGCCAGCTACCAGCGTCCTCTCCTTTATAGCCCTCCTGGGAGCACTAGGAGGCTGGACCCCTTGCTTGTCAATGATGCCCTTAGAGGTATAGCACCCAGCCCGCTGGGGGTACAGCTAGGACCCTACAGGCCACACCACGCCTCTCAGATCTCAGCAGATGTAAAAGTTTAGCAAAAATGAGGAAGGTCGTCAAGACCCTGGGGTGCTGGTGGGAGAGAGCCCTGGGGCTGGCCCATAGCCCGTCATGTGGGAGGAAAGTACTCTGAACAGCAATTCTCCAGAGCTGTGTAGGGGGCACGGTGTCGGTGTCAGGGAACTGGGTGCCTGGAGTGCCAACTCCTCAAGGGTCACACTCGGGGGTGAGCAGGCGGGTCCCTGGTCCCCAGGGACAGGTGTGCCTCCTTCCCAGCCCTGGACAGGATCCTCAGATCAGAGTTGGAAGTTTCCATGCCAGACACCCCCCGCCCCCCGTCCTTCCTGCCTAAGTCTACCCAGTGCGAGCCTGTACCAGCACAGTCAAGGGTTTGCTTAAACACTAGCGGCCAAAATCACTGATGTGGCCTTGACCCCCTGCCTTGAGGGGATCAGGGGAGGCCTCTGACCACTGAGGAAGGGCCCCGAAGAGCCCAGCAGAACTGAAACAGAGTTCCTGCACACGGTGGGTGCCGGAAGAGCCAGCCCTGACTTGGCAACAGGCTGTAGCTTTGTCCCTTTCACCACCTTTTCCGCAGCCTCCAGCCACTCGTTTTTTCAGAGAAGAGGTGACTCTTTCGTGCCTGGGCCTGTGAAGCTGGCAGAAGGAGACCAGACAGTCGGGCGCCTGACCCAGCACTCTCTGCCTTGAGCCCCACACCACGTTCCTCTTGGTGTGGACAGGGGTTCTCTCTTGGAACCTCCCCCCCCTCAAACGCGCTGTGAATGGAAAGGAGGGCATAGGTGCCAGGCTCAGGAACCAGGCCTCAGCGCACGGGAGCTGGGCTGGGGACACAGGCAGAGCCGGCACTGTAGAGGCGCTGGGGCCCGGGGAGACACAGCCTACCTGCATGGGGCCCTCGCTCCTCAGGGAAGCAGGCGGGGGGGGGGGGCTGCAGAGACACCCACAGAAACAGAACGCAGGGATGTCCCAGGGTTGCCCTCATGATGCAACACCCTGGAGCCCCGGGCCCACTCGGGAGCAGCTGGTTACTGGGACTCATTCAAGTTCCAAAGCTTGTCAACTCTTTCCAGTATTTCCATTGTTTTATACAGGTAAAACTTAAAGAATGTTCAGGTTACCCTCTGAGACAGCATATTCTTGCTCGTCTGTGCTAAAGTGCTCTGTGGAAGAAGTGAGAAAGGGGTGGCATCCCTGGGTATGTGCTCACGAGGGGATGACCCAACCAATGGCTACATGGCAGACAGTGTCGTGACGGGGAGACTGAGGCCCAGAGAGGGGAAGGGGCTTGCCCCACGTCACGTGGTGATGGGGCTCACGGGTGGGACCACCACCCCATGGCCATCCTCCTGGGGGCCTGATGGCCAAAGGGGAGAAAGGGCTTCGGAGAGGGCAGGTGGCCAAGTCAGGGTCCCCCCTCCCCCTCGTCCTCACTGGTGCAACCCTCTGGCACAGCTGGGTCTTGGGAGTTCCTAGTCTCCAAGTACTCGGCCTTCAGCCGCTCCAGCTCGTGCAGCTCAGCCTCCAGCCGCTCCCGATGCGCCGTCCGCAGCTGCCGCAGCTGCTTCATAGGGAAAGGGTTCATGTCGTTGAAGGCGATATTCATCAGCTTCCTGGGGGGAGAGCACAGTTAGTCCAAAGCCAGTGCCCTATCGGGTCTGCATTTGCTGGGCCTTCCCAGGCACCCTGGCATTTGTTCTGTCCCTGTGGCTGAGGCCCTAGCCCCTGCCCACAGGCAGCTCACCTTCCACGAAGGAAACCGTGAATAAGAAGACAACTTCCACCCAAAGTGATGTGTACTGAGGCAGGAAGAAGCTTAGGGCTATGGGAACTCTAACACGTAAGGAAAGGTTTATTAGGGAAGGCTGCTTGGAGGAGGTGACATGCGAGTTAGGTGTTGAAGGATGAGTAGTAGTTGGCCAGGCAAAGGTGGCAGTGGTGAAGATGACAGGGGGGCATTTTAAGTAGAAGAAACTGCAAGGCCAGAAGTCCAGACGTTGGTGTCCTAGGAACCCAAATAATTGTTTGGTAGGATGATAGGGTGTGGGTGTTAGGGGCAGGAAAAGGTGGGTAAGAAATGAAATTGTGCAGAGGCCTTGAATGCCATGTGAAAGGGCGAACAGACCACTGGGGCAGTGGAATGTTCCTAAAGGTTTCTAAGCCATAGTGGGGGATCGACACCACTAACAAATCTCCACTCAGCAAATACCTGCCTACCCTCTTCTACGTCCTGGGGGCATGTGTGGGTGGTGGGGGTGCCGGACAGGCAGGACTGGGGGCAGAATGGGTTCTCACTGGCTGTTGCAAATGGTCTTGGTGAAGAAGCGCAGGTACTGGTAGATCTCCAGGCCATCCTGCAGTCTCAGGATCTCCTCCTCGTTGTACTTGAAAATGGCCAGGGCATAGCGGAATACCACCTGGGGGGCAAGTGGGGGCTCAGGTGGGGCATGGGGGGTGGCCAGGGCAGGTAATCCCCAGGGGGAGGAAGACCCCCTACACCCAGACAGTGTGGGACCCCCCCAGACAGGCTGCAGAGGTTGAAAGCTCGTGTGTGGGGAGCCCGGGAGGCAGGGGCAGATGGGGGAACCCCAGGGGGAGGAGGGAGCACAGCGTGGAATCTGGGCATGGGGACCAAGTGCCTGGCTCTATCCTTACTTGTCCAGGGGCCCTGGGTGAGGTGCTACTCTCTTGGACCTAATGGGGGTAATACTGTCTTCACATGGGGTATTAGCAGGAATCAGAGTGACAGATCTGAAGGTGCTCTGTAAACTGCAGTGTGGTACGTTCTCAACCACTATGGGGAAGAAGGGAGGCCTGCCCAGGGTCTCCTAGAAAGGCAAGAGGTAGAGCTGGGACCACGCCCATGTGCCAGCCTCCCAATATGGGGCTCAGTCCAAACAGGAGCAGGAGGAAGAGAAAGAGGGGCTCTGGTGACTGGATGGGCAGTGGAGGGAATAGGGACGGGCCTCCTGGATCCCAGCCATGGCTCTTCCCTAGGAAAAGGAAATCCCCCCCAACTTTAAGACACATCTTCGGGGGCAGAACTATCCCTCCTCCTTGTGTATGCAAAGCACTTTAGTTTATAAAGCCATGCTCCCAGGAGATGTCCTCAACAGCCTGACCAGGGGATCACTGTCTTCCCATTCTCCAGGGGCAGGATCGAGACCCGGAGGGCTGAAAGGCCTTGCCCAGGACTGTCCTGCTCACCCCTGGCAGTGCCCTACCTTGGTGCCCTCATACAGGAAGGCATCCCAGACCCGGAGAAGGATGTTGCTGATGAGACTGTCTGCAAAGACCACGAGGAACCAGTTGAAGGTGATGAAGGAGAGATCCACGCGGTGCTGGCCCAGGTGAGCCATCAGCCTGGGCAGCTTCTCTAAGAGGAGGTCCTGGAGCACCCGCTGGTCCACCTGGGAGCCAGGGAGAGAGGGCCTGTCAGCTGCCACCCTAGAGAAGGGGCTGCCTGGCTCCCTGCCTGCCCTTCCCACCCAGCCAGTCCACACACAGTCCTGGAGTCCCCCCACTCCCTCACCCCAGGAGCACAGAGTGCCTGGAGGATCCCCTCAACCCCTGCCTCGTGGCCACCACCCTGCTGTTCCCAGCACAGGCTGGCAGCCTTCTGGGCTGGAGGACTGGGCTATGATGCAGAGGTCTCTGTGGGCTAAGTTCTTAGCCACTCATGTTCTGGCCCATTTGCCCTCCTGAACCCAAAGCCAAGCAGCAGTTCAGACCTGTACTGGCTGACACCACGGCCACATCTCTACAACCATTTTGGGCCTGACATACAAGATGTTCAATGCATCCAGCTCAAGACTGAGGGTAATTTACTGAGCTTAAGATGCCACTGAACCTGCTGAAGGATTCACAGATTTGCTGACGTGATGTCTGGGATTTATTTCAAGATCACCAAAGCAAGAGGAGTGGGCGGGAGTAGATAGGGAACAGCAGTTGCGTGTCTGTGTTGATAATTATTCAAACCAGGTGATAGATACATAGAGGTTCATATACTATTTTCTCTATTTTTTGTACATTTAAATTCTTCTACATTAAAAAAATGAGAAACAAACCTTCCAACAACCCTACCACAGCACCCTGGTTATACAACACACCTCAGTTTCCAAGATGTTGAAGCATGACAATAAAATATGGAACATTTCCCAGCCCGCCCTGCAGCGAGGGGTGCCATGTGAGACAGTCCTGACCAACAAGGTGTGAGCAACTGCTGGGCGGGGAAGCGGAGCCAGCCCCTGCCTTCCAACCCTCTGCTTCTCCCAGCCTGGACCACGGCCACAGTGCTGGAGGTGGTACTGCTGTCTTGTGACCATGAACAGGGTGCTGAAAGCAATACGTGAGGGATGGCCCAGCAGAGAGCCTGAAGGGGGCATCAGCTTTCTCATTATCTGGGGAAAATATCCGCCGCCCCTTAAGCCACTGTGAGGTTGGGTCTCTTTCTGATTCATGACCTGACGAATCCTCAGTCTCAGTCTCTGGCCCTGACCTCCCTCCTTCACAGCGGACACCTGTGTGTCTGCTGACCACCACCACCACCACCCCCGTGGTTGTCCTGCAGGAGGAATCAGTGTTGGGTGATCCTAATAGGAAAGGAAAGGAATGGGGAGGGGGGGGCAGGAAATGGCTTGGTAGGTTTGGGGTGTAAAGCGAGAAGGTCCGCCACCCACCCACCCATCCACCCACCCACTGGCCTCTCCACATAAAGCAGACAGCTCAGATGCAGCGGGAGCCGGATGAGGAGTGAAGTGAGAGAGGAGATGGGAGGTCGAAAATGGTTTCACATTTACACCTGTCAACAAGCCCAAGAAGTAGTACTTCCATCCCAAAGCAGACAAACCAGGTGTTCAGAGAGGGGATGTTGCAAGGCCATGCAGTTGGCTCAGGGAGGGTGGGCTCTGGCCCTAGCTGCCCCTGACTCCAGCGCTAGTCTGGGCTGAGTCAGAGGGCGGCGAGGCTGTAAGGATGGAGACAGCTGCGCTTCTTGGGAGGCCGTGACCAGTGTGTGTGAACGCTCGTCCACACGAGTCCTACTGACTCCTACTTCCACCCACCTGACCTCTATTTTGAAATTCTTTACTGGCAAAAAGCAAGAGATTCTAGATTTTCTTCTCCTTCCCTCACCAAGAAATCATTTCTGAAAAACATAAAACTAAACAACAAACAAAAAACCCCAACCATTTCTCGTGACATTGTGTCACTAGTGGAATAACAACAATCTACCCCGTGGGCAGGGCCCCAACAGCTGTAGAGGCCATCTGCTCACTTGAACTTCCCAGGAGTCCCAGGGAGGGGTTACTGGCCCCGTGTACAGAGGGAGAAATGGAGGCCTGAGAGCTTCCTGATTCTTCTGAGATTCACTGGCTTGAAGGAACCACTCAAGGGGCACCAACCTGCACAGCCTCTCCGTCCCATCGGTCCCTGCCCTGCTCACCTGGGATGATGTCAGCGTCTTGCTGTAGTAATCAGCCGGCATGATGGTCTCCACAATGGCCACCAGACACCAGAAGGCACTCTCCTCCTCCTCCAGGACCAGCAGAGCAATGGCTGCCAGTCTGGAATGGGAGGAAAAGAGCACTGGGGTGATGTGTAGGAGTTGCAGCCAAGCAGAGGGTGGCAGAGGTAGATCCCTGGCTCCCAACCCTACCCTTTAACTAGGCTAGTGTTCTGGAACCTGGGGTGAGATGAACATGTTTTTGGGGAGGATTGCATGGGGGATTTCCAGAGCAATGAGGAGATCTGAGTCTCTGGAGCCCTGTTGCCTAGGTGTGAATTCTGGACCTGCTGCTTCCTGGCTGGATGATCGTGGGCAAGTTCCTAAACCTCTCTGAGCCTCAACCTCCTCATAATAATCACAAGACTATTATGAGGATGAATGAAGTTAACATGAGATAAATGCCCAGCACACTACCTGACATGTAGTGAGTGCTTTATGAATGTTAGCTATTCTTATCTTAATATCCACAGGCTTTGAGACCTTGGCAAGTGTGCTAACCCTCTCTGAGCCTTACTTTCATCATCTGTAAAGTTGATTTAACAATCTCCACCTCCCAGGGCTGTGAGGCATTTTGAGTGGGAAGTCAGACCTACATACAGTGCCTTGCTAACTATCTGGCATATAGCAGGTGCTCACTACACAGAATTCCTTCTCTCCTTTGCTTCCCTGGCCCCTAAAGTTATCACAGGGCTCCAATGAGATCATGGTAAGAAAGGAAGAAAGACCCCCACAGTGCTGAGCAGGGCTGTCAGCCTGGAAGAAGTACTGTTTTCTCTACTTCTCCCATCTTTCCTGGTAAGTCTCACCCAGGGTCAATCTAGGAATACATCTGCCAAAATGCGGTGGTCTCTCAAGATGCTAGGTGAACACAAGGTCCCAAATTAAAAAATGTTTGGGAAATGCTGCATACTCTAGCCCCCTTTTAGAGTCTTATGATGTACAACATGTAAAAGCCTCTGAGAATTCTGCAGTGACAAGACCCCATGTGACTCTAACTCAAGGCCACCTATCCGGTGGGGCTGTGGAACCCCTTTTGTACAGTGCACCCACTGAACACCCTTAGGAAGATGCCGCCTTAGAGCACTGTGGAGCCTCATGCTCTTGATGAGCTTAAAGAACACCTTTCATTTTCCAGCTATTTATCCCTTTCTGGACTCTCACTAGACTGGATTCATGATCCAGTCCCTTTTCTGAGGTTCATACTTTTTAAAGAAACAGGGTCAATTCTCAAAAGAAAAAGGAAACTCCTTTTCTCTACCCAGTAGATTCAGAAGAAATTTCTTTCCACTCTGGCTAAAATATCTGTACAAACCCTCCTGAGTCTGAGCTGAGTGGACAAAAGGAAGAGTCACAGATCTCTTGGGACATAGGAAGCTATCCTCTCAAAGCTGGGGAAGGAGGCCTTCTGAGGTCATTTAGTTCAGGGACAGCAATGTATGAAACTGGCCACCACTCTTTTTGGTCTATGCCCAGGGTAGACATAACTGAGTGATCATTGTGCTCTTTCCCACTGACCCTGGAGGCTGCCTCAAAAACTCACAAGACAAGGCAGGTGCTTCCTGTTGGTCATCCCTGGGTCTAGATAAACTTATTGCAGAGATGGGAAGACTGAGTCTTGGGAAGCAGAAGTCACTTGCTCAGGGTCACGCAGTCAGCTGGTGGCAGAGTGGAGACAGAACCCAGGGTTCCCAAAGCCCAGCCTGGTGTTCTCTCCATCCTACCCCATTCCACTGGAGTCTTGGGATGTGGATGTGCTTAGTCCAGGAGCTGGCTGCTGGCACCAGCACAGATTTCTGCACACATTAAAAGGTCAGTAGTGAGAGGCTGCTCGTACCAACTAGGGCCTACCAGCTGTTCAGGGCGGAAGCCAGATTCCAACTTAAGGCATTCAGGCTCAAGTGGGTCTGCAAAGGAGGTAGCGTGGTGATGTGAGAAAGAAACAGCTACTTCTAATGCACTCCACTTATATTTTACAGAGAACTGGTTTTAAGTTTTTTCCCTAGGTTAGCACTGTATCATTACTATGACATAGGTCACCCTCTAAACAGGAGAGTGTTGCACGGAAGCAGGGTCTGTCCGGACGCTGTGCACATGGTTCTACCGGCTGCCACTGGATGGCGCCACTCAGACAAGTGAAAGGGGCCTGCAGGGTGGGGCTTAAGGGCCCCACTGTCTGACCCTGAAGGGGCTCTTCCTATGACAAATAACTTTGGATTTCAAGCAATATGAATATCTGCCTAAACAAATATCAGTTAAAAAAAAAAAAAGCATTCAGAGAAAGAGTTGAAACACTCCTGGGTGTCACCCCCACTTGCTCAGTCTACATCTCCCTCCACAGCCTCACAACTGCCTTTTTCCACATAGGCAGAAGCTTCTTTCCTTCTGGAAGGTTTGTCTCAAGACCCTTCCTGCTATAGGATTTTCCCCTGCCCCCTCAGCTTAGAGAGTGGTGTGTGGTTTGACTCTGAATTTCCAGCCACTGAACATGTATATATGCTCAATTTCACCCAATTTAGGCAGCAAATCAGTATCAAAAATATGTATCCTTAGGAATCATTCAAATTTGGGTAGGGGCTCTCTGAATGTTTATTCTGTGTTAAATAAATGTCACACATCGCCTATTCTGAAAAAAAAAAGGGCAGAGTGTCTTATGTAAATTTTGCTTGAGTATATGCATATTAAAATTAAATTGAAAAAAAAAATTAAATTGAGTCCAAACTTGCTTTGGGGAATATTTGAAATTATGTAACTTCTGTCTAGATAGCCGGGGCCATCCATGAGAGTCCTCTACAGTGCTGGACAGGGCAGCCCTACCAGGTCACCCCACTCCACCTCACCTCCAACCCCAAGCCCTTATGTCCTGCTGTTGCCAGAAGCAGATATGAATCCAGGCTGGGCCAATCACATTCCTTCCTTTGGGAATTTAGGCCTGAGGACATGAGGATATTGACAAGTAGGAGGATTGGGGGAAAAGGCTCCAGACTCAGGGGCTAAGGTCTCCAGTCTGACAGCCTTGAGGGGCCCTAAATGTCCAAGGAATGAGGGACAGAGACTGGTCTGCTGAGAAAAGGAAGCAGACATGTAGAGCAAGAGGGGCCAGAGATGGTGTGGCCCCCTTGAGGGGCTGCGGGGCAGGACGGCACTGCTGCACAACTCCGGGACTTGTCCCCATGGACTGGGGCATGATCGGCAGCCCGGGGGTTGTGTAGTGCCGGGGCCCTGCTGGCGAGAGGAGGTGCTTTGGTTTCTAATGACCATCTGGTCTCACCCTCTCTTCCCCTGTAACATTTACAAATTCTTTTTTTTGTTGGGCTCCCTTGAATGGGTTTTGTTTTAAAGTAAATGATCCATGACCCAGACAGTTCTGCGATATGTGAGTTGAGTTGTGCACTACAAAATTCCGGGGTGGTGGGGGGGACCGTTCACAGTGCTTTCTATATGAGTGATGATGAGTGGCACACCCTAAGTGCAGATCGAAGGAGAGCGCACAGCCTGGGGAGCCCCTCTGTCTTGAACCCGTCCTTGTCCTCGTCCTCCTCTTAAACATGTCCATGTTGTCCCCATCTGTATGGCGGGAATCAACCCTCCTGGACTCACCTCTCCAGGTTCTTGGGAGCTCCAAAGGGACTGAGGGGTGCTCTAAAGGATAAAGGTTGTGCCCTCACCAGGGCTGTGATGCTCACCTGTTCAGGCCCTGGCAGTAGCCGATGGTCGGGTTCTGCCAGGAGAAGGCCAGAAGCACCCGGCGCAGCTTGTCGGGGAAGTTGGAGGTGGGACAGGTGAAGTGCTTGTTGCTGGGGAAGGTACGGTGCAGGTCCAGCTCAATCTGGCGGGCAGCAGGGTGCTCGCGGACCTGGCCCTGGCTCAGCAGCTCCTGGTAGCGGCCGGGGCTCTGCAGATGCTGGACGCGGAGGTGGACCAGCCACCTCCAGACACGCGGCCGGTGCTCTCGGGGCACACCTGCCCGCAGCAGCTGCTTGAGCTCCACCGAGGGTGCGAGATCACTCAGGGCAGCCCAGCGCTCCCGCAGCGGCCGCTCCACAGCCTCGTGAGCCAGCAGGTGGTGTGAGTGCACCTCTAGTGCCTGGATCTTGGCCAGCAGCTTCAGGTCTTCCATCTCGTAGTTGGGCACCGTCAGGAAGCCATACTCATCATACTCCCTGCCAGCAAAAGCCTATGTTAGCAGCACCTTGCAGAGCCCTTCCCTGGATAAGGGGCAAGGCGGGAGGGTAGGTAGGGGGAACCCCAGGCAAGATTCCTGCCTGGGCTTCACTGTGGGTTAGCCATGCAGCTCTGGGCAGGTCACTTCAATTCTCTGCACTTCAGTTTGCTCATCTATACAATGGGTAAAAGAATTCCTGTCCTGCCTCGCAAAGACCCATTGACATCCTCTGTTGTCAGATGCTGGGGGCCTAGACAGTGCCTGGTATGTAGTAAGTGCATAGTAAGTGCATTCTGTGCAAATATAAAGGACCCTCTAATTACTCCATGAAGCCTTAGGCTCAAGGAGTCTGGCACTGCCAATCCAGAATCCCACTGGCACAGTGAGTAAGCCCAGGGATGGATGGGGAACAGACAACATCAATGACAAGTAAGATGGGAGAGCTAGGGATCCATCCCAGAGGGCTTTTCACTGATTCCATATTTCTTTGCCCTTACTGTGTGCTCTGCATGTGCTCTCTCATTTAGCCCCTGCAAAGTGGGGATCTTAGCCCACATCTGATGGAGGCTGAATATGTGGCCCAGAAAGGTAAAGTGACTTGTCCAAGGTCACATGGTGAAAGAGCCCTGTCTGGCTCCAAAGCCTGGGCTCCTTCCACTGGGCTGCCTTCAGGGGCTTTAGACCCCACAGCCAGAGCCCCTTCTGTTACAGTCAACTGCCTATGTTCACTGTGCTTGGCAAGGACTTGGCTCAGGGGAGGCAGCTGGCTTGTCTCCCCTCCTCCCCTCTCTGACAAACATCTCTGGGAGACAGCCTGGGGAAGTGGGGAAAATGGAGCTCTGGAGCAGACCCAGGTCAGTTGCACTAATATACTCTGTGGCCTTGGGCAAGGGGCTGCCTCCTCTAAGGCTGTAACCCCTCAACTGTAATGTGGGGCTCATCCCCACCACTTGCTCTTTATCTGAAGGTACAAGGAAGTAAGTGATGTGCAGGGCTCCTACACGGTCAGCAGGGAACCAGCACCAGGGCTGGGGACTCTCAGGTCACGAAGACCCACCCTCGCTGGCCGCTGGGCTCACCTGATGGGGCTCAGCTCCACGCCATCGGCTGAGGCCTCCCCGGCTTCCCACTGCAGCGCCTCCTGGATAAGCTGTCTCAGCAGCTCCGAGCACTCAGTGGCCTCACCCCCCACGGCCTCCTGCAGCCTCCGCAGCCCGGCCAGGTACTTGCTCTCCACCTGGCAGTTCTTGGCTTGGAGGTAGGCACACTGTGGAAGGTGGGATGGGGCTGTCAGGCCACCTGCTGGGCCTGGGCCCACCGAGAGGCTGAGCAGCTGTAGGCAGCAGAACCCTTCTCAGCCTCATCTCCCATGCTCTCCCTACCCCCAGCCAGTCATCCAAGGGTCAGGAGATGGGCCCCACACCTGAGGGTTTATAGCAAGGCAGAGAGACTCCAGGCAGGAGAGCCAGGCCCAGGGCTGCAGCTGGATTCAGAAGAGGGGAGTGGTGGGCAGGGCAGTGCAGGTTCTCACACAGCCTGCAGTCCCATCCTGCTTCAGGCACTGTTGGTTGGGTGACCTAGGGCAGGTTACTTAACCTCTCTGTGCCTTAGCTTCTTTCTCTAAACAATGGAAATAGGGCAGCCCTGGTGGCGCAGCAGTTTAGCGCCGCCTGCAGCCCAGGGCGTGATCCTGGAGACCCTGGATCGAGTCCCACATTAGGCTCTCTGTATGATGCCTGCTTCTCCCTCTGCCTGTGTCTCTGCCTCTCTCTCTCTCTCTGTCTCTATGAATAAATACATAAATAAAAATCTTTAAACAATGGAAATAATAGAGTCTGCCCCAGGATTCTGGGGAGGATGAGACAAGCTGATGTGTGTAAAGGCTCTCCCCAGGCACCTGGCCTAGAGCAACTCTCTGTAGGTGGCACTATGGAGCAGTGCCCAGGAGATGGCCATGTGGCTCTGGACAGTGCCCCTGTGCCTTCTGCTTCTATATTACTGGCTCTTCCCGTTCCTCCAGCATACCACCTCTCTCCCACCAGTGGCCTTCCTGAGTACTCCCTGCCCCTGTCTTGAACTGTATTTCTATTTCCATAGCTGGGTGTGCAGAGCAGCTCAGGCAATTTTCCTGGGCCCACTGTGTAAGCTGGTCGGGAAAAATCGGCCTCAGAGCATCGCTGTGACCTCTGGGCCAGCCTGGCTCCTGTCTCATCCTGAGGTGGCAGAAGGGGAGCCTCCTGGTCAAGGCAGCCATTCTGCTTCACTCCTGCCTGGGTTACCATCTCCTGAGCATCAACTCCAGGCCATCCGGTGAACCTGCTCCCCTCCCCTTTCCAGCTGGCTCCCACGTCTGCATCCTTCTGCCACCAGGGCCACTTCCCGAGCCCCCTCCCAGTACTCTTCTTGGGCACTTCTGCTACAGACTCCCAAGTCTCTGTGCTCCCCGGCCCACCTCCGCAAGCCAACTGAGCCCCCAGCTTTCTCAAAACATAAGTCTGATTGAGGACCTCCCCACCCAAGACCCTTCTACAGCTCCCAGTTTCCTCAGAGAATATCCCAAAGCTCTTCCCTCCCCACCTTCCCCCGCCTCTCAGTCCACAGGTGTTGACCACGCTGTTTTTTCTTGGAAGGCCTTTCTCTACTCTCTTCGCCTGGATAGCACTAACTCACTTTTAGGACTCAGCTCAAGAAGGTACTCCCACCAGGAAGTCCTCCCTGACTTTCTTCCTCCCTTTGGGCCCCAAAGAATCTTGTGTGCTCAAATGCATCTTGATTGTGTTGGATTCCCTTGCTAGTCTGCATGCAACCTCCTTGAAAAGTCTGAGAAGGCCTCTTGTTAGTTCCTCTTTAAATGTTCAGTTGAATTCATGAGGAAAACCACAAGGTCCAGGGCTTTTCTTTGTTGAGAGATTTTTGATTACTAATTCAACCTCCTTACTAGTTACAGGCATATTCAGATTTTTATTTCTTCATGATTTAGTCTTGGCAGGCTTCATGTGTCTAGGGATGTGTCCATTTCATCTGGCGATCCAATTTGTTGGTATACAATTATTCATAGTACTCTTATATCCTTTTTACTTCTGCAGCATCAGTAGTAATGTCCCCACTTCCATTTCTGACTTTGAGTCCTCTCTGTTTTTTTTCCTTAGTCCACCTAGCTCAGGGTTTGTCAGTTTTGATCATCTTTTCAAAAAATCAATTTTTGGTTTCATTGATGTTCTATTACTTTTTTGTTATCCAATTAATTGATTTCTGCTCTAATCTTTATTGGTTCCTGCCATCAGCTAGCTTTGGGCTAGTTCTTTTTCTAGTTCCTCAAGTTGTGAAGTTAGGTTTTGGATTAGAGATCTTTCTTGTTTTTTTTTTTTTTTTAAAGACTTATTTATTTATTTATGATAGACACACACACACACACACACACACAGAGAGAGAGAGAGAGAGAGAGAGAGAGAGAGAGAGAGAGGCAGAGACACAGGAGGAGGGAGAAGCAGGCTCCATGCCCGGAGCCCGACGCGGGACTCAATCCTGGGACCCCAGGATCACGCCCTGGGCCAAAGGCAGGGGCTAAACCGCTGAGCCACCCAGGAATCCCAGATTTTATTTATTTATGAGAGACAGAGGCAGAGGGAGAAGCAGGCTTCATGCAGGGAGCCTGATGTGGGACTTGATCCTAGGACTCCAGGATCACACCCTGGGCATGAAGGCAGGTGCTAAACCACTGAGCCACCCAGGGATCCTTTTCTTGTTTTTTTAAAGTAAGTGTTTATAGCTATAAATGTCCTCCTCAGCACTGCTTTTGCTGTGTCCCTTAAGTTCTAGTATGTTGTTTCCTTTCTCCTTTGCCTTTAAGTATTTTCTAATTTCTCTTGCCATTTCTTCTTTGATTCATTGTTGAAAATAAGTTGTTCAATTTCCACAAGTTAGTGAATTTTACCGTTCTGCTTGTTACTGATTTCTAACTTCATCCTGTTGCAGCTGGAGAAGATACTTTGCATGGTATCTGTCTTTTTAAATTGACTGAGACAATTTGTGGCCTACAAATACCTTGTCCTGGAAAATGTCCCATACACACGTGAGGGGAATACGTGTGCTGTTGTTGGGTAGATGTTCTGTGCTGTGCCTCTTGGATCCACTTGGTTTACTGTGTTGTTCAAGGCCTTTCGTTCCTTACTTCTGTCTGGTTGTTCTAACCATTATTGAGAGTGAGGGTATTAAAGTCTCTACTATTATCACAGAATTACCTATTTCTCCCTTTAGTTCTGTCCGTTTTTGCTTCATATATTTTGCTGGTCTCTTACCAGGTATGTAAATGTTTATAACTGTTGTATCTTCTCACTGTATTGAACCTTTTATTAACATATGTCTTGGGATCCCTGGGTGGCGCAGTGGTTTGGCGCCTGCCTTTGGCCCAGGGCGCGATCCTGGAGACCTGGGATCGAATCCCACGTCGGGCTCCCGGTGCATGGAGCCTGCTTATCCCTCTGCCTGTGTCTCTGCCTCTCTCTCTCTCTCTGTGTGTGTGACTATCATAAATAAAAAACAAAAAAACAAAAAACAAAAAAAAACATATGTCTTTTTCGTAACTCTAAAAAAAAATTAAAGTCTCTTTTGTCTGACATAGCCACCTTGCTCTCTTTTGGTTACTATGGCATAGAATATCTTTTTCTATCCTTTCACTTTTAATCCATTTGTGTCTTTGGATCTAAAGTGAGTCTCCTGTACACAACATATAGTTGGATCATGTGTTTTTATCCATTCTGCCAAACTCTGCCTTTTAATTGGAGAGTTTAATTCATTTAAATTATTTATTTTTATTTTTAAAAGATTTTATTTATTTGTGCATGAGAGACACACAGAAAAAGGCAGAGACATAGGCATAGGGAGAAGTAGGCTTCCCGAGGGGAGCCTGACGTGGGACTTGATCCCAGGACCTTGGGATCACAGCCTCTGAGCCAAAGGTAGATGCTCAACCGTTGAGCCGCCCAGGTGTCCCTAAAGCTCTAACATTCTAAATTGAATTTATACCAGCTTAACTTCAATAACATGCAGAAACTCTGTTCCTCTATAGTGCCATCCCTACCTTTTCGGTTGTTGTCACAAAATTACAGCTTTATACATTGTGAGCACCAAAACATAATAATTATTTTAAATGCATTGGTTTCTGAAATTAGGTAGAAAGCAAAACGTGGAGTTACAAACCAAAGTTGTAGTAATACTAACTTTTAGATTAAGCATTAAAAAAGTATTCTCTTAAATGATGTAGAAAACAAAGGTGGAATTACAAACCCTTTTTACCGTAATACTATGTCTTACAACTGCCCATGTCTTTACCTCTACTGAGATTTTTGTTTCTTCATACACTCCTGAGTTACTGTCTAGTGTCTTTCCATCACACCCTCTAGGACTGTCCAAGCATTACTTGTGGGGCAGATCTAGTGGGAACAAAATTTCTCAACTTTTGTTTCTCTGAAAATGTCTTAATTTCTCCCTCATTTTGGAAGAAAGTTTTGCCAAATACGAACTCTTGGTTCATAGCTGTTTTTGTTTTCAGCACTTTAAATATATTGGCCCATGCCTTCTGGCCTCCAAAGTTTCTGATGAGAAATCTGCTCATAATCTTCTTGAAGATTCCCTATATGTGAGGGGTTTCTTCTCTTTCTGTTTTCAAGCAATCTCTTTATATTTGGCATTCAAAGGATTGATTATAATGTGTCTCAGTACGGGTTTCTGTGAGTTTATACTTACTTGAAAATTGTTGAGCTTCTTGGTTGTTTTTATTTGTGTCTTCATCAAATTTGGGAAGTTTTCAGCCTTTATTTCTTTTCATATTCTTTCTGTCCCCCTCCTCCGTCTCCTTCTGGGACTCCGAAACTAGTAGTATTGTAGACAGCCCCCATCACTAATCTTTATCCCAGCATGATACAGTAGAGAGGGCATCAGGCCTGGAGTTTGAGTCCTGGTTCTGACTTCCTGGCTGGGAGGCTTCACTGAACCCATACTATAATGGGTACGTTGGTCTGCTTAATGGTGTCTCACAGATCACTGAGACTCTGTTCACTTTTCTTCAAACTTTTTTCTTTCTATTTCTCAGACAAAATAATTTCCACTCTTATCTTCAAGTCCACTGATTTCCTCCTGCCTGCCTGAATCTGCCTTTGAATCCCTCCAGTGAATTGTTCATTTCAGTTATTGTACTTTTCGGCTCTGGAATTTTTTTTTTTGTTGTTGTTTCTTTGTAGGTTTTTCTAAATCTTTATTGAAATTTCTGTTTTGTTCATACATTGCTTTCTTGACTCTCCACATCTTCCTTTTGTTCTTTGAGCATTTTTAAGACAACTGTTTTAAAGGCTTTGTCTAGTATTATCTAGCACGAGGTCTTTTTCAGGGGCAGTTTTTCTTGACTTATGTATTTCCTTCAAATGGGCCACACTTTTCTATATCTTTGTATGCCTTGAGATTTTTTTGTTGAAAACTGGATATCTGAACACTAGAAATCAGATTCTCCCAATTTGAGAAAAGACTGATTTTGTTTTTTGATTGTTATAGGCTGTCTCTGTGCCAATGGTAGCCTAAAGTGTAAACTTAAGCTTTCAAGTCTTTCCTGAGCCTTTCTCTGGATATGCATGGCCACTTTCTAATTTCCCCGTATATGCAATTTTTTTGGGAAAAAAGGGAGAAAAGAGAAAAATGAAGGGGAGAGGGGAGGAATGGCTGCCCTCTAAATCCTCTGGAAGTTACTCTAGATGGGAGGGAAGGTGCATTAATGGCTGTCTGTCTCTTCCTCTGCACTTTGGTGATCAGAAGCAGCAATCAGAGCACAAATGCCTGGGGCTGGAAAGGCAGCTCATAATGAAAGGGCACAGTCCAGAGGTAGGGTAGGCAGGTGATAAGGACAGAATGATATGGGGGCAAGAAGGTGACAGACCAAAGAGTGGCTGGGCATGGAGATGGACTCTGCCTCTTACCTTCATCAGGAGGGCCCTCTCCTTTTCAGCCACCCTTCTCCAGATCTTTGTGACCTGATGGATCTCGGAATTGAGGAAGCGGTTCTGGGTCCGATATGCTTCCATGTCATCCTGGAGAAGAAAGCAAAGCATTTGATGTGCTGTACCATAAATATCTCCCTGGTTCTCACCCTCAACTGCCAACACTTCCTTCCTTTAGAAATTTCTAATAATGACAACAGAAGAGAAAGTCTAAAAGAAGTAGTATTGTAGACAGCCCCCATCACTAATCTTGATCCCAGCATGATACAGTAGAGAGGGCATCAGGTCTGGAGTTTGAGTCCTGGTTCTGACTTCCTGGCTGGGAGGCTTCACTGAACAAACCTGACCCTTTGTTTTTTCACCTGTAAAAGGGGGAAATACTATTCCACTGGGCAGCTGGGAGACGACATGAGGTAACGTGTCATAACACTAAGTATAGAGACCAAAACAAACATCCAAATAGTGTTTGTTTAAAAAATAAACATACGTAGTCATATATTTGCAATCATACTAAACAATTTTGGATGGAAAATTTTTTTTACTTATTGTCTTATTTACTTAATGTCTCCTTGTAAATACATTTGACCCTTCAACAACTCTGGGGTTAGGGGAGCTGATCCCACCTCACAACCCACTCCTGAATAGTAAAAATCTGTGTGTAACTTTTGACTCCCTGCCTCCAAAATTTAACTGCTGATCACCTACCATTGACTGAAGCCTTACTGAGAACACAAAGAGCCAATGGGCACACATTTCATGAGATATGCGTAGTAAATATTGTATTCTTACAATAAAGCTAGAGAAAAGAAAATACTAAGAAAATCATTAAGAAGAAAAAATACACTGACATTACTATATTGTGTTTATCAGAAAAAAATCTACCTATAAGCAGACCTGTGCAGTTCACACCCGTGTTGTTCAAGGGTCAACCATACTTCTCTATGTTACATAAGCTTTCCAATGATCATTTTTAATGTCTGATGACTATTCTGTTGGGTGAATTTACTGTACCTTAGTTATAATCATTCTCCTGTTATTTTTTACTTGGGCCCTGAGTATTTTCAGTTGGTTTTGATTATGAATAATGCTGTGATATGCATCTGTGCACCTAGCGTTTTCTTTTTGTATGCTGTTCAGTAGACAGAGTGAGATCCTGCTGCTGGGGCATTTGAGGAGAAGCTGGCCAAGCACTGAGGAGGCTCAAACAGGGGCCTGAGCCTCAGAAAGGAGCAGCCACAGCACTGGCTCTGAACCTTCATTTTACTGGGATGGATGTTACAAAAGTAATGGACAATGCATGCTCACAACTATACCTAGCAATTCTAGGACATTCACTAGCCAAAACTCAAGCCCTTTTGCTCCCACTACTCAAGAAATGTACTGGGCTGTAAGTGCATGTGAGAGACACTATTGCAGGCATGACCTTGGCTAGGGCCTGATTTATTTGGAAACTAAGAGCACCACACCAGAGATGCCTGTGGCACCTCATTATCAGGGATGGGTCATGTACGTATGTACAGCTCACATCCTCCCTGGGGTGGGGGTGGGGGGCTGCATTTTGGCCAAGATCCTTCCCAGCCCAGAAGCTCCAATTCATACGCAGGGTCTGCTGCCTTCTGCCTAGATGGTTGACCCAGTGGGAGGGCCCCATGCTCCCATGGCTCCTTAGCTAAAAATAAAAGCCCCAGGCTGACTTCATCACATGGCCTCTCACCACTCCACTGGGGCTCTCTGTGGTGTCTCCTGTCCTGGCCACCCCTGCTTTTGTATCCCTCACTGTGCCCGGGGTGCAAGGCTTTTGTGCACTCAGGCTGAGTTTGCTCTCTGCTCTCTCCATCTGGCCTGAACACAGGTAGTTCCAACTCCTCAGTGCAGACTTCCTTCTACTCTCCCACATGTCTACCCTAGATCAAACTCGGCTCCTTTTTCTCAGAAATGCTGCCAGGGGGTGCCAGCTGCTCCTCTGCACAAGTGTCTGCCCACTACCTCTCCACAACCCCCACTTTCTTATCCTCATATGGAAACGTGGTGAGCTTGGTGCAAATCCTCATGTTTGCAGTACAAGGACCAACCTCCTGTGAATATCAGGATTTTCCAGGACCACTCCCCCTTCCTGAGACAGTCATCTGTTTTGGTGTCTGGACATTCACAGATTCATGAACACAAAAGCTGAGTGGGCTCCATACACCATTACCCTGTGCCCCGTGCTGAGCATGTCACTCCATTCAATCTCCCTAGCAGCTTGGAAAGTGGGATCAGGTGGGATCTCAGAGGCTCTGAAAGGACAAGTATGTTGTCTGAGGTCACACAGCTGTACAAAACAGGGAGATTTCCCATGGCTGCTGTGTGTGTTCTTCCCAAATACCTGGGAAAATATAAAAACTTCCAGGCGAGGGAGGAAGAGAGTTACCAGTTGCCTGAGTTCCTACTATGTGCCAGACCCGTCTCCCTCACACAATTATGTGGAATTTATCCTCCTAATGTTGTGGGCTATGTATTAAAGTACCATCAATCCCATTTTACAGATGAGGAAACTCCTCAGTCACGTGCCTAGAACACAAGAGGCTGGATCCAAACCTAGGTGTGTTCAGTCCATAGCAGGAATCATAAACTATCGCTGGGTGAAAGCACATCAGTAGAGTCCACTGCTCTATATCACCTCTACACCGCCACTCGGTTCAGCCTCTGTTACCATCCCTTTGTCCTCATTCCAGGCCCCAAAGACACTCCCTGGCAGTTCCCAGGCTTTGGACATGTTGCCTGGGCCACCCTGCCTCCAGCCCAGATGGCGAGGGTGGGTGTGAGCACCCCTTTGGGGCAGCCATGGGGGCGGGAGGGGGTGGCGTCTGGGCAGCACCCCCCATTCAGCTCATCGCCCTACCTTGAGTGTTCTTCGCAGCTCAGAACTGTAGGGAGGAAAAAGAGAGAGCTCAGAGACGAGAAACCCACCAGACAGCGACCAGTAAGCAAAGGAGGAAAACACAACTGGAGAAAGAGATAGGAAGAAGAGAGTCTGCTTGCGCCTGCCTTCATGGGGGTCAGGAGCCTGGGAATTCTCTTGGGGAAATGCCACGTGGACCAGCCATGGTGCTAGTGGGGAAGGCAGTGGAAGGGCTGTGGTGAGACCCGTGGTCTAGCTTCAACCCTGCTGCTTGTGCTGTGGGACCCCGGACCAGTCCTTTCCCCTGTTCCGGGCTCAGCTGTCCCTGCCAGAAAAATGTCAGAAATGCTATCACCAACTCTGCCCAGCTCCAATATTCAAGAGGTCGATGATTCTGTTCTCAAAATGGCAGCTTCAACAAAGGGGCATTTACTTAAAGTTGCATGCCGTCCATCCCAGGGCAAGTGGGAGATGTGAACATGCTCTGTCCCCAAACTCAAAGACAATGGATTTTTGTTGAGTCTTCTATTTTGCTAGAGCAGACACCTAAAGGCTAATAAATGAGGAACTCTAGCACATGTAATTCTCTTTGGCATCAACACTGGGCCTCTGAGGATCAGCTGTTATGGTATGTTAGGTTGATGGGAGCCTCCTCCTATCTGGGCTTACTGATAAATTCCTGAACATGCAAATCCAGAGGCACACTTGGTCTCCTACGGTGAGTCCATGCTTCCAGTCAGCTCTTGGGGGCAGTCTAGAGGCATCCAAAAGATCTATTTCTCTACACCACCCCCTGCCTCCACACTCCAACCCCCCCCCCCGGCCCCCAGCTGCTCTATGGGGTCTTCAATTATGGATTCCAGCAGGATGGGCACAGAGAGAAGACTTTGGGCAGGGCAGAGGAGGGTAGGGAAGCAATCTGATGAAAGCAATTTTCCAGCCCCAGAGAGCTTTCTAAAGCTAGCTCCATCTGCATTTGAAAGGATTTAGTTTTTCATTTTGAACTCAAAAGAATCTGATTTTAAAGGGAAAAGATTCAAAGACTGAGTATGTGGTTTTTCATATTGAAGGAAAGGGAACAGAACCTGGGTTTGATGTCATCTTCCTTTACCCCCCTATCAACCCTGTGAGTAGCAACAGTGAGGCTGTTTTTATAGAGAGGTGAGGGACCTTGCTGGAGATCACCCAGCTAGTAAGAGGCAGAGCCTGGATCCAAACACAGGTCTCCTCGACTTCACAGCTGGGGCAGGGGTCACTGTACCACAACTGCCCACTGGGCTCTCAAAAGCTTTTGGAGTTCTCTTTTTTGCTTCTGCTTCCCCTCTTCCAGCACAGGAGCTCCCTGTGCCACGTACGTATATCTACAAGTACAGCTGCGCGTGACGGGGTTTGGGGCAGGACTGGCCCTGGGTATACAGCTGCCTTTAAGGACTGTGGGGGTTATGAGCCCTGATCCCCAGCCTCAGGCCTCCAGGTGGTTTGGCGGTTCCTGTCCCCACGTCTTAGAGAGGACACTGCCATCCACGGCAGGCATCACACTTAAAATTACATTCCCGTTCCCCAAGCTGTAATTGGTCTCTGTGGGAGGGCACAGCCTCCCCAGGTGAGAGCCACGAGCCCGGGCACGGGGGAGGCAGGGATGGTGGCAGTAGTGGGAAGGCCCAAAGAAACTGGAAGGCAGCGGAGCAGACACAGGTCAGAGAGTTCGAGTTCCCTGGGCTGCTCCACGCACACCCCCTTCTCGGCCTCGGCCTTCCTGCACACAGTGGGGAGCACACAAGTGACAGCCTCACAGGGCTGGTGGAGCATCAGATGAGATGACAGGAACAGGGCATGTAGGGCGGTGGCCACCACACCGCACAGTGTCACAGAGGAGACTGCCATGGTTACGAGCAAGTCACAGCCAGCCATGCATTCCCTGGACTGTGTGCTGGGGGAGGCGGCCGGGCACCTCGGGGACTCCCAGGGGCATCAGTGTGGCACCGAGCTGGTCTGGCACTCAGGAGTCCTGACCTCATCTTGTGCTCTTCCACCTCTAATCATTATGTAGACACACCTTCTCTCTCCAGCCACTGATATCAGGAAAAGACAAATTGCACTGGACCTTCTGGTTAATACAGTGAGAAGTGTGTAGCAATACTTCCAGCAGGAATATTCCGGTCTTAAGGGTTCTCCCTGCTTCACTTAGGAAACCCCCAGGGCCAAGAGCAGTGCCCTCTCCAAGGGCCCGGGGCCTGGAGGGCGGGGCCCCTACCTTCAGCTGCTCCATCTTCTCCTGTTGGCTCAGGAGGTCCCTGTCGGCAGCCCCGGGGAGCACGGGCGGCTGGGTAGGGGGGTGCGTGAAGTCCTGGGTGACCTTCTCGGAGAGCTTGCAGATGACCTGCTGCTTGGCCTGGTTCTTGTCCATGAGCAGCTGCACGTGCTGCTGCAGCTCCTGCACCTGCTGCTCCCGCAGGCTGGCTGTCTGCACCAGGCTGTCCCGCTCCTGCTCCAGGGCCTCCAGCTGCCGGCCCAGCTCTGCGATCTGTCGCACCTTGTGCCGCACCAGCTCCAGCCGGTCCTTTTCTCCTGCCGAGGCCAGGTATGCGCTGGTCGCCCTCTTCTCCTGCTGGGCGGCTTCTAGCGCCTTGTGTAGGATCCTGACCAGCTCCTGGGGGAGAAGGGGGAAAAAAGCACCTTGTGAACTCCATGAACTCGGGGAAGGCCTGGGTGGGGCAGGAGCCTGGGCATCTGCTATCACCCACTCTCCTAACAGCCCTGAGGGGTGGCTAGCATCAGCCTCTGGGCCATCTCAGTTTCTCTTTTTCTGTTCAACCAAGTTTTACCTGGACACATGGTTCCCCAGCTGAAGGCCACATCTCCCAACCAGGCTTCCAGTGGGTTGACACTAATGACAATATTCTGCCTAAGTGGGATAGGAGAAATTATGTGGGTAGCTTCTGGGTCCTATCTTTAAAGCCACCACCACCCACATGCTCCCCTAGTGTGGGGTGCCCTTCCTCCTGGCTGGGAAATGGCAAGATCTGGAGCAGCCACCTTGGGCTCCTAAGCAGAGGGTGTATGCTGAGGACAGCAATGGCGCTACTGGCTCAGAGCTTCTCACTTAACCTCTGGATTCTTCCACGAGAAGGTAGGAGAGAAAGAAAGTTCCAGAGTGTTTTAGGCCAGAGTACTCAGAGGCTTCTTTGTTACAGCAGCTGAGCCTATACCCTACATGTCCCTTTCAGAGATGGGAAAACTGAATCCCTGCTGAACAGAGTGGCCTTCAATCCCAGATCATCCCCAGCCTGTGCTCGGTCAGTAATGAAGGCAGCAGATGGCACACTACTGTGGCTCTTCTTCCAGGCTCCTGTGGCAGACCTTACTTATTAATCTCAATATTCCTTTTCTGGGTCATTGCTATGCTCCATGACTGAGAACATGGTTTCCCAGAGACATGTTACCTGTATTCACACCAAAGTATTCAACTAAATGAATCAGCTGGATAGGGTTATTGCTAAGAATGATTCCATTTTGGTTTTTTTGTTTTGTTTTGTTTTAATTTTTTTAAAATTTTTATTTATTTATGATAGTCAGAGAGAGAGAGAGAGAGAGAGAGAGAGAGAGAGAGAGAGGCAGAGACATAGGCAGAGGGAGAAGCAGGCTCCATGCACCGGGAGCCCGACGTGGGATTTGATCCCGGGTTTCCAGGATCACGCCCTGGGCCAAAGGCAGGCGCTAAACCACTGCGCCACCATGGGATCCCAGTTTTAAATGTTTTATTTATTTATTTGAGACAGAGAGAGAGCGCACACACACAGAGGGAGAGGGAGAAGCAAGCTCCCTGCTCAGCAGGGAGCCCAAAGTGGGGTTTGATCCCAGGACCCTGAGATCATGATCCAAGCCAAAGGGAGACGCTTAACTGACGAACCACCCAGATGTCCCAAGAATGATTCCATTTTAGAAGAGAACTGCTCTAAATCATGACTTTGATAAATTAATGGCAAGGTTGAATTAGCATGCATCTTCTGAAACCTGGGGACCACGGACTGTCCCTCTTCTAGTTTTCTCCCTTCCCTCTGGCCATCCGAACTTTACGCTCCACTTGCTGCCAGGCCCTAGGCTGGGTGCGGGGACCCAGGAGGGAATTACTTAGAGTTCTCATCTTCAGAAACCACCAAGGCTGGTGGGAGCAAAAGTGAACTATTGTAATGGAGTAATTTACTGCAAGAGGGAAGCAAGGGTGTAGATGGGGATACAGAGCAGAGAGCAATGACTTCCACCCGGGATGGAGGTGGGGGGAAGACCAGTATATTCTACAGAAGGGCAGAACAATTGAAGCTGATCCATGAAGAATGAGAAGGGCCAGAGACAGTCAAGCAGCAGGAAGGAGTTAAGGGCTGGAAGGGCTTTCCTCGTGCTGAGTCAACAGCTCCAGCAAGGCCTCAAGGAATGAAAGAGCCTGTGTGGGGCTGTGGGCATTCTTGGGTGCAGCCGGAAGGTGGGGTGGGGAGCTGTTGCAAAGCAAACCAGAATGTTTGGAATGAACTAGCTTCTCAGGCTCTGCTGAGAGAGATCACCATTCCTGTGGCTCCAGGATAACTGAGAAGCTGAGGCCATTTTCTGGTTCAGCTGGGATTCGGAGATGACCTTGGAAACTGCCTGGGCGAAATAACCAGCAGACACTATTGTGCAGACTCGTCTGAGGCTCAGCATCAGGCAGATATCTTTCCTCCAGCTTTGGGAGAGTCAGATCTGAAGCCCATTTCATTACTTCTAGTTGCCTCCCCCTTCCTACTCTCCTCCCAGCCCAGGACCCCTGCTGCAGAAGGAGACAGGGAGAAAGGAACCAGGGAAGGGACAGAATCAGGGCAGGAAGCGCGAGATGAGAGAGATGAGAAGTGCGAATGGACGTCGGATTCAGAAAACCTGGTGGCTGGCAGACCCCGGGAGACCACCTGCCCAGGCAAGTCTCTTTGCTGTCACAGCAGGACACTAAAGCCCAAGAAAGAAGGAAAAAGACTAAAAGGAGCTGGTGAATCCCCACACCATAACAGAGAACCCCAACTCCTAATCGAGAGTCTTCCACTTCTCTGGGATGTGTGGTTAATAAATTTTGCACGGAAACACTTCTTTCAATTTCTTTAAAAATAGAAATAACCCATGTTCATAGCAGCATTATTCACAACACCCAAGAGATGGGAACAACCCACATGTCTGTCCCCTGATGGTGAATGGATGAACAAAACGTGGCATCTACACACGGTGGAGTATTATTCAGCTTGGAAAAGGAAGGAAATCCTGTTACAGGCTACAACATGGATGAACCTGAGGACATTAGTCACAAAAATGTACCTACACAGCATATAGAAATTTTTTTAAAATTTAATGAAGAGGGAAGCTTCATGCTGTTTTGAAGCTGTTTGGGCCTTACGATACACTATGGCACCTCCCCAAGCAGCACCATCACTGGCAACAGTGCAGGGGGTATTCCTTTTCTGGATGTGCCACAGTTCCCTTGTCCCACCCTCAAGGAGGAACATCCAGCTTGTTTCCAACTCCTACAACTATAAGCAATGCTTTGGGACCCATTCTTAGAAACAGAAGAGCTGACCAGTGGTCTTTTTAATATTTCTTAATCAAGTTATTGTTTGTCCCATTTCAGATTTTGGTAACAGGCCACGAGTTGTCATTTTATTAAAAGATATTTTTATCTATTGAAGTATAGTTGATTCTTTAAAATTTTAAAAGCCAACAAATCATCCTTTAAAAATTAATGCTTTATCTTATTAAAGAGCTGATACTTTATTCACTCACTAAAATCAAGGTGGATGGGCCCAACATTGCTGGGAAAAGAGCACTGGACTGAGAGTCCAGCACATTGGCCACTGACCCCTGTGAGGCTGGGTACCAACAGGGTGCAGGTGAAGGAGCACCAGCTCTAGAGTCCCTGGGGCCTTGGTTGCCATTCCAGGTCCGTAAAGGGGTATTTAATGAGGGTGTTTCAGGAAAGTGAACTTTGGCTTTGTCATATATACACTGGAGATCATGCTCTACTCCTGGGAGAGCCACTTCAAGGATAAGAGAGAAAGTATGGCAAGTGCCCCTCCCCAAGCGGAAGCAGCTAGGGCCCCTCTCGATCCTCCCTCCCTGCACTCTGAAGTCCTTGTACTCTGGACTCTGGAAAAGGGGAGTGTACATTTTGGTCTCTGGCTGGGGTTCTAGGGAAATAAGAGGCTGCACCTTGCTCCCAATGAGTTTCCTAAACGAATTACCCTGAGTGAGCTAAGTGGGCCCCAGATAGGACCTGGAGGAGTTCATCACTCCCATCAGTCAACAGATGGCCAACATCACTACAAACAATGGGCTTCCATCTGCTGGAGCAGACAACCTTCAGGCTGGGTGCAATTTTGTCAATTCTGAGAGCCTGAGTCACCAGGCCAAGCAGCCATCTGGTGCTATTCCAGGAGCCTAAATCTCTTGGGGACCAGCATTGCAAGGGCCTGGGACATATAATGGCCTAGGGGGTACTGGAGTAGTCCTATATTTTAATATGACACCAGACACAAGTGCATTCGTATTTTCTGAAGAGCGGTTGTGATGCTAATGTCTGATGCTGAGCTGTACATGGAGACCACAGAGGAGGCGGTAGGGCTGGGATGAGTCCTGTACCTGGGGAAAGAGGCCAGGGCCTCAGTCCTGACTCTTCCAGTTGTGTGACCTCAAGCCAGTCACCCACCTTCTCTGAGCTCCTTGAGCATGGCACGGTGTAAAGGGCAGAAACTCGAGAAGCAGACAGACCAGAGTCTGAAACCAGTCTTGGTTCCTGGGAGAGCCTGGGCATGCAGAATCTCTCAGAGCCTCAGTTTGCTCCTCAGGAAAAGGGGGCTGGTAACTGTTGTGAGGATTACAGATAATGCATGGAAAGCCTGAGCACAGAGCTACGGCCACACTTCACATTGGTTATATATGCTCTTATCTGCTCTTACCTGAGGGCGGGGACCCAATGTACATCTGTGCCCTCTACAGCATCCAACAGAGTTTGAGATACAAATTCTTAAAGGACTATTAGCAATGACCACTTGGGTGGCTGAGCCAGGGCAAGACCTCCCATGTCCTCCTGTAGCCTCAGGCAGAGAATACCTCCCACCAAAGAGATGTAGGAAGGCATTTTATAGATGTGGCTGCAGGGAAGTCCAGGGGACTGTTTGCCCAGCTGAGGAACTGGATTCATAGGGTCTCAAATGGGACAGGTGCCCTCCAATCAGCATTTCACACATCTAGGACACCACTGGGCACCCCAAGGTTTTGCAGGGCTCCTCTGTCCTACCTCTGGGCCAAGAGAAGAGTCCATCTTTTCTCCTTTCCCTCTTTGGTTTTAGTATCTAGGCTGGAGGTAAAATGCCAGAGTCAGTAGGGCTGTGGCTTCCCCTGCCTAAAACAGGACAAAGACGTGACCTCTGCCCATCACTGCTAGGCTACACACTTCTTGGGGATGCTTAAGTGAACACATCCATATTTCTGAGTCCCTCAGAGGAGTGTGGCATGCATCATAAGGCTGGAAGGAATCAGCAAGGAGGGCAGGGAATGCCACAGTAACAGCCAAACCAATCAAAGCCTGCATAGTGGGTGGCTGCTGGGTGCCAGGCACTGGGTTTTATGAATCTACGCGCAGGCCTGTCCTATAAGCTGTAACTTGTTTTCACTCCACTTGCCAGGGAGCTCTCAGCAGCCGGGGGAGACCTTGGTCATCTCTAAGAGCTTGCCTTTGTTTATTAAGAATGCCACATCCTGGGGACCCCTGGGTGGCTCAGAGGTTGAGCATCTGCCTTTGGCTCAGGGCATGATCCCAGGTCTGGGGATCAAGTTCCGCATCAGGTTCCCTGCATGGAGCCGGCTTCTCCTTCTATGTCTCTGCTTCTCTCTCTCTGTCTCTCATGAATAAATAAATAAATAAATTTTTTTTAAAAAAAAGAATGCCACATCCTCCAGAGCAGCACAGCCACTGGGGACAAACCTCAGTGAAATCTAGGGCTCCCAGACCTCTCTTTCATCTGACAATTCCTGATACTTTGGAAGCAAAAACCAAGCCAGGGGAGGCCACCCAGATTTCCTAGAAAGAAGGGGAAGCTATAGTGAGAGGAGAGGTGGGTTTCACATCCAGGGTTCTTTCCCGGGCCACGTTTGGTGTGGGACTTACACTGTACTGGTCCGGGGATGGAGAAGCTGCTCCAGCTCAGCTGGATGCCCTCTCGGCACTCAGGAGCACCAGCAGCCCCACCACAGGAATGGGGTGGTGGGAGAAAAAACAGCTGGGCTGCTAAGTGGCATCAGAGGGGGCTTCACACACTGTAACACTGTATGTGGGCGTTGGTATGTTCACTGCTGGTCTCTGCTATGAAATGTAAGCCATGCAGGGACAGGACAGGACCCATGTCTCTTCCCACTGTTCCCAGCGCCTAGAATACTGCATGCACACCACAGGCCCTCGATAAAGACTCAGTGAATAAATGACTGAAGTGAGAACATATGAACGAATGAGCCTCCTCCTTGGAGAACTCCAATCACAGGCTGCTTCACTAAATGTATCCCCTGACCTACTAGGAGGGAAGCCTCTGCTGCTTCTCCTAATGTCTGTTTATGGGCAAGAAAGACAGGGAAGGGGCAAAACCAGGTAGGGAGAGCACTTTTCTGGACTATCTTCTCCAAAAACAGAGCAGCAGAAAGGCGAAGAAATGTACAAGGGGGAGGTTATTCAGAAGTACACACAGCTTACCCCCCACCATCCCAGGAGCGAGAGCGGGAAATAGAACAGAAAAAGACTGAGGGCAGCCAAAGCTCAGACATGAAGACGTGGGCCTTCCCCTCAGAGGAAAAGAAGCCTGGCTTCTCAGTGGGGCCCACCCTTGGGGGCATCATGGGGCACCACTGTTGGGATTTTCAGTAACAACTGTGCTAACTTAACCACTTTTACTGTGCCCCCGGGCTGCAGTCCCCATCACCTCCCTGCCATGTGATTCTCACTACTTCACAGTTACCCCAGAACATGAACCTGATTTATTCTCTGGGTTGTATGGTATTTGGATGATTGTAATGTCTGTGTTTGTGTGTGATCTGTGTCCTATAACAACCATGTAACTCCTTTTTAAACTGCTATAATTACCTTCTCTATTGAGCCTAAATTTTCCTCATCATTGTCCCTTGTTGGGCCTGGCTGAGCCCCAGAGCTACACAGACTTGCCTGCTTTCTCTGTCCCATGAATCCTTCAGTGATCTGTACTGTTACCAGCTGCCAGTACCTTCAGGGGCCCTTCCCAGGACTCTGCATCTAGAGCCCCCTTCTCTAAATGTTCAGGGTGGGGTCAGGTCAGGCATAGTCCTCCAGGAGGAGTCCAAGAGCAATCACAAAGTAGGTCCCAGAGACCCTGCCCTTGAAGGGCACCTAGGCTGAGTGTCCATCACCTAGGCTGAGTGTCCACATGTCCCTCAGTCACCAACAGCACAGCATTTCCCACCACCAGTAGTTTGGCTAATAAAGACTGAGATTTTACATCTGCCCAGCCAGGCTAACGTTGCATGTCTGGTTTGTTCAAGGGCTCCAGGCCCAGACGGGTGCACTGGAGCCCAGGGTCTCCTGGGGCCAGACCTCACCTTCTGAGACTTTAGCTCCTTGGTGAGCATCAGAACCTGCTGCTCCAAGGCCAGCACCTTTTCCTGGGCAGTTCGGGACCGTGTGAGTCCATCGGCAAAGAACGGAAAGGTGTTGTTCTGGCGCTTGGCTTTCTGAATGAGATTGGCAGTCAGAGAGGACTTGGGTGTAGGCTTCGGAGAATCCGCTGGATCTTTCCCTGCTCAAAAGGAGGAACACAGAGGTTATGACTGGGGGCCTCAGTGGTTCTCAAAATTGAGCTTGCTGCAGAAGCATCTGGAGGGCCTAGTTAGATGCAGATTGTGGGACCCTATTCCCAGAGCTTTTCATCAGTAGGCCTGGGGTGGGACTTGAAAATTTGCATTTCTAAAATCTCCTAGCTTGTAGGGGATCACACTTTGAGAACCCCTGGGCTATATATATTGACACTGTCCTGGCTGGGTCCTTCAGCCCATCCCTTAAAGTGTGCCTGTCCCCAGCTCTCAGATCCCTGCCTGCCATAGGCATGTCATACCACACTGCTGCTGTGTGCCAGGGGCCATCTCAAGCACTAGTCCTAGCAGGATGTCTTGTTTCTTATTTCAGGATCTCAGCTCCTACCCTCTTGGCGATTTTCAAAGTATAGAGATTTGTCCATAGACAGGAGTGTGGAATATCTGAACTCTGCATTCTCGCCCCAGACACCAAGTCAAACTCTTGTTTGACTCTTATTACAAGCTAAGGTAGGACACACATTCCTCACAGTTGGCTGTCTCCAGGCTGCACAGTCTATTTCCTCTAGAGCCAGGGTCAGCAACCAATGGCCCACATGCCAAATCCAGCCCACAGCCAGCTTTTGTAAATCAAGTTTTATTGGAACACAGCCACATTCATTTGTTTGTGCATTGTCTGTGCTGCTTTCACTCCACAAGGGCAGAGTTGAGTACTGGCAGCAGAGACCATATGTTGCCATAACACCCCCAACATTTACTACCTGGCTCTTTATAGAAAACATTTGCCAACCATTGCTGAATTTCTTATTTTATTTTTAAATCAAATATTTTATTTTATTCTTAAATCAAATTAAACATCAGAATTACTCACTCATCCATGATGCCTTGTCCTGCCCTGCCCTCAGTCTATACTTGAGGGATTTGCCATTAGCCTGTATCCAGAGACATTTTAATGGCCTGACTATATGGTCAAAAGACCTTAAGAATCTTGTTTATATGGTGCATACACATTGTGCCCATTATGAGGTACCAACAGAAGAAATTTTCCTTAGCTCTCAGCCCTAGAAAAGGCTTTTCTTTTTCTTTTTTTTTTTTTAAAGGTTTTTAAATTTTACTTTGGTTTCTTTTTTTTTTTAAATAAATTAATTTTTATTGGTGTTCAATTTACCAACATACAGAATAACACCCAGTGCTCATCCCGTCAAGTGCCCCCTTCAGTGCCCGTCACCCATTCACCCCCACCCCCCGCCCTCCTCCCCTTCCACCACCCCTAGTTCGTTTCCCAGAGTTAGGGCTTTGCTTTTTCTAAGAAAATATGTTTATTTTTACAGATGCTAGAAATAATCTAATGCTTGCATTCCTTTCTTTGCCTTGGTTACAGAGCAGCTCAGCACCACATCTGCTGCCCACTCTTAGCTATTCTGTAGGATCTTATCTTGATCTTACCTAAATTTCCTATCCCAAATTACTCATTTATTTTCCCCTGATATTTTTTAAAAAGCTATTATTAGCTTTAATAAACTATTCTCAATTCTTTTGGGACTGGGGTGTTAAAAATAAGGATGTGGTATGGGATCCCAGGTGAAGGGACAGGCAGGGCTTACAGGATGATTTGAATAATTTAGCATGTTTCTTCTGGGGCCAGCCAAACAATCCCAAATGGATAAGAAATTACTCTAGGTTAACAGGAATCAGAACCTCCTTGGCCTTGTTGAGTACAAGAACAGAATGATTTTGTTCTAGACTTAACAGAAATCTGGACTGCAGACTGCAGAGCTCAGAGGAAAGCAATGCCTCTTTTTTTCCTGCCACGAGGTATAGAAGAGCCCCTGTGTGTGTGTGCGGGGAGGCTCCCTGTAGCCTTGGGCCCTCTGGGGATACCACTCTCCACTAACCCTGAGAGCAGGCAAGGTAGGGATCATTGCACCCATTCCACAGTCAGAGAAAATGAGGCCTAGGAGAGTGGTCTTTAGTCATTGCTGTAGGATTTCATGGGTGTGCCACAGGCCTGACTGGGCAGAGAAGAGGGTAGGAGTCGTGGAGGGGAGCCCAGACTCCCATCCCCTGTCTCAAGTCTGCTTTGATCTGCACTGTAGATTAGATTTTATCTATGAGGGGTCAATAAAAGGTATCATGGCAATAAAAACATAGTGTGAAAAAAATCACTGCTTTAGAAAATGAGGCTTTTTCTAAAGCCTTGGCCTGAACCTTAATTCCTAGTTCTGCACCCCTATGCAGCCATGAGTGAGTCCCTCCACTTCTCTGTTCTCCATTCCCTGATTTGGTAAATGAGAACAATGGAACCTTCCCCTTAAAGAGGTCAAAGCAGGTGAAGTGCTTAGTGGTCGTGAAAGAAACTTGAGAAGATTCTGTTCAGTGACTGGAGCCAGTCAGTCCTAAAGGACCAGATATTGCAGATTCCATTTATATGAACTATTCAGAACAGGCAAATCCATAGAGACAGAAAATCGAATAGTGGTTGCTCAGACCTGGAGGGATGCAAGGTTTCTTTTCTTTTTTTTTTTTAAATTTGAAACAGAGAGAGAGAGAGAGAGAGAGAACAAGCAGGGAGGAGGAACAGAGGGAGGAGAAGCAGACGCCTTGCTAAGCAGGAAGCCTGATATGGGGCTTGATTCCAAGACATAGGGATCATGACCTAAGCCGAAGGCAGATGCTTAACCAACTGAGCCACCCAGGCGCCCCTGGATGCAAGGTTTCTTTTTGGGATAATAAGCATGTTCTAAAATTTAGGATAATAAGCATGTTCTAAAATTGATTATGGTGAACTGTATACTTCAAATGATGAGTTGTTTGGTATGTGAATTATATCTTAATAAAATTGTTATCAAGGGGAAAAAAGTGCTTAGAGTAGCCCAGGCACAAAGTAACTGTATATATGAGTGCTGGTTTTATTATTATTGATTTGATGGGGTATTGATCCCCCCCTTGCACTGTTCACTGTGATCCGTGGGGCCTCACCAGATGCTGCTTCAAAGAGGTGCTTTTTCTGGAGTCACTTCTATACAGCCCAGGGATCCTTGCTGCCAGACAACCCCACAGTGCTGTTTCAGCCAGTTTTCTTACAACTGTTTCCAGATTACAGAATGTCCTAAGGGCACCCATGCCAATTAAAAAAAAAAAAGCCCACCATCCCTGACGGTATGGGCCACTCAAATTTTGTGAAATAATAAAATGCTATGGAATAGCTGAGTGGACACCTAAAGGTCACTTGCTCTGCTTCTTCAGGCAGATCTGATTTTAATTACCCCAGAGAGGCATCTTTATATCCTTTCCTTATAAATAAAAAAAAAAGTAAGAAAAAAAAGTGAGAGATATTTTCATTTATTCAAGAATCATCTGGAGATGGGTGGTGGCGATGGTTGAACAACACTGTGAAGGTGCTTCATCCCACTGAACTATGTACTTATGGGTCAAAATGGTAAATTTCATTTTATACACATAACATTATTGTGTATTTTACCACAATAATATTGATAAGGAGAGGAGTCATTGCTACTAGCCCCATGGAAACCAGGAGAAGTCACCTGCAGAATTTCATGTTGGACACAAAAAAGCACAAGTTGGTTTTGGGGGAAGATAAAGAGGGCGCTCACTGGGTCTCTGAGGTCAGCCCAAACCTGAGTGGAACTCACCTGGAGTGCTGGGGTCAGAGGGTAAGGGCTGCTCCGCCCTCTGAGGTTCCGAGCTCAGTGGAGGATCTTCCCCTAGAGGTCCGTGGCCCGTTCCTTGGGCCTGTCTGTTGCCCCGAATATTGGACATCGTGTTTCTGAAAGGAAAACAGGAGCATGAGGCTGCCATCCTGCCCCCTTGTCATGCCCCAAGCAGTCTGCCAGGCTCCAGGAACCCTGCGAGATGCAGCCCAGAGCCACTCCCCACCCCCTCACTCTCTCCTTTTCATTTTCTCCCTGTACTTACCAACTACCACACACGATATTGCTAACCAACAATACAAGCCTGATTCCCCTGCTCCCAGCCCCACTGCTGGAGCATAAGTTCTGGTGAGTGCCGGGATGTTCGCCTGTTTTGTTCACTAAAATACTCTGAATGCCTAGCACGGCGCCTGCGACATGGAGGGCACATAGAGTATACATGCTGAATGAATGCCAAACTGACTTGCCAAACTAACTTTCCTGAAACCTTCATCTGGTTTTATAACTAGTTAGTTCAGAAATCATCGGTGGCTCCCTACTTCTGCTGATGAAAGTTCCAAACCCTTCCTGGATTCTTTCCCCTTGTTTTCTTTGCTCACTCAGGTCTGTTCTCCTTGAGGCCTTCATTCATCATCTCCTAGCCTCCAAGGAGTTTTACTGCACTTTGTCAACGGACTACCCTTTGACCAACTACTTATCTAGGCTGAACAGTGGAGTCATTTCTTCAAGATCTGGGCACTAACCTACTACATGCCTGCTGGTACCTGGCACTGGGCCACACATGCCCAGAGTGTAGGCTCAATACATATTGGGTTTGCAGGAAGGAACTAGACAGTATCAATGGCTGGCCAAGGACCAGAGACCACAGAGAAATTCATAATGAGTTGGATGAAAGGAGAGTTTAACAGAGTTTATTTTCCCTTTGCAAACAGATAAAAGTAGACATATGCCAAAATTAATAAGGAGGAATAGAAAATGATTAAGGGAGTTCATTAGGTCAGTGTTTTTCAAACTGCAGGTTGTGAATCATTGACCACTGTAAAATCAGTTTAGTATCATGACCAGCATTTATTTTATTTCATTTTTTAAATATTTATTTTAGAGAGAGAGAAAGACAAAGAGAGATAGGAGAGAAATGCATGCAAGCAGGAGGGGTAGAGGGAGAGGTAGAAAGAATCTCAAACAGACTCTGCATAAACATGGAGCCGAACATGGGGTTTGATCTTATGACCCTGAGATCATGACCTGAGCTGAAACCAAGAACGAACTTGGCTTAACCGACTGCACCACTCAGATGCCCTGTAACCGGCATTTAAAATACGGAATGGAAAATATTAGAATGCACCCCACTTAGAAAGGGTTAATATTTTGTAAGTTATATGTATGTGTGTTCTGAGCCATAAAATAAAATGTACTTCTTACTGTGATGGTGGTCAACAGTCTGAAAAATAATGCACTAAGAGGTCATTTACTTAAAAGGCAGCAACAGTATGGTCAAAAAAGAAAGGGATGTGAAGGTCTGTAGATTGGTGATGGAGTCCTGGTTTTGCTTCCCAAACACCTAGGTGCTAGATAAACATCAAACATGTCTCAAAAATACTGAGCCGAATTCCCAGGAAAGGAAGGGTAATTCTTAGGGACTAAACATGGAAAGGTGAACTTCAAGTGAGAAGGTGAATGTGTGGATTAGACCACTCCTCCACAAATATTGACTCCTTTCCCACCACTTCCTCAGGAGCAGAGTGCTTCCTCTCTCAGCTTGGGCAGGGCAATGTGATTTGCTTTGTCCAAAAGGATGTTAGCAAATGTGATGTAAACATAGCCTTAAAATGTCCTTGCACAAGGAGCTTGCCCCCTTGAAGAACACGCCTCAGGCAGCTGCTGGTCCACAGAAGATGAGAAATATGAAGAGCAGGCTTAGATCTTAGCAACAGCTTGGAGTCAAGACCAGGTGAACCTAGCCTATATCAGCTGAATCCAGATGTGTGAGAAATAAATGTTTATTATACGACACTGAATTTTGAAATGTGTGTTTGTAGCACTATTGCTGTGAAAGTTGACTTAGGACACGAGTTTGTTCTGGGGTCAACCATTTGCTTTTTCATTGAGATATAACTAACGCATAACATATTCATTTCAGGTGTGCAATATATTTATTCATCATAGTGCAAAATGATCACCATGCTACCTCCAGTTAACATCCATCACCACACAGAGCTACTAGATTTTTTTTTTTTCCGTGTGATTATGGATCAACTGTTGATACCAGAGACCTAGAACCTTGGCTGCAAGAGAAGAAAGAAAGCCAAGGTCTGGACCCAAACAAACTGCAGAGTTGAAACTGAAATTCTCACATACTGCTGGGAGTCGTGTGAAGGGGTGAGTTAGGGATCAACACAAGGAAATTCTAGCTGAAGATTCCAGGTTCTTACAATACTTTGGTTTGGTTTTGGTATCAAGATAATATTGGCCTTTTAGAATGAATGGGGAAGTATTCCCTCTTCCTTTTTTTAGGGGGAAGATTTTGTGAAGGATTGGTATTAATTCTTCTTCACATGCCTGGTAGAATTCAGCAATGAAGTTAGCTGGTCCCAGGTTTTTGGTTTTTTTGTTTTTGTTTTTGTAGGGGGTAGTTATTTTTATTATTAATTCAATCACTTTAAATGTTATAGGTCTATTCAGATTTTCTCTTTCTTCTTGAATCAGTTTTGGTAATTTGCGTCTTCCTAGGAATTTGTCCTTGTCCTCTATGTTATCTAATCTGTTGGCACAGAATTGTTCACAGTACCCTTTATAATCTTTTGGATTTCTGTAAGGCTGGTAGTAATGTTCCGACTTTTGAGCCTGACTTCAGCAATGTGAGTCTCATGTCTTTTCTTGTTCTGACTAGAGGGTTGTCAATTTTTTTGATCTTTTCAAAGAACCATTATTTGATCTGAAATTCATTTTTATTATTTTATTTTTATTTTTTTAAAAAGAAAAGACTTTATTTGTTTATTCATGAGAGACACATACACACACACAGAGAGAGAGAGAGAGAGGGAGAGAGGGAGAGAGAGAGATAGGGGCAGAGACACAGGCAGAGGGAGAAGCCAGCTCCATGCAGGGAGCCTGATGCAGGACTCGATCCTGGGACTCCAGGATCACGCCCTGGGCCTAAGGCAGTCGCTAAACTGCTGAGCCACCCAGGGATTCCCTGAAATTCATTTTTAAAACAAAATCCAGTTTTTTGGCATAGTTGGGTTCAGAATAAGAAATAAGATTGTACTTTAATGCAAAATACAGCTGACTGATGGAAGGAAAAATGAATCTGTTAAATTAAGAAGAGAGAAGAAATTAGAACTCAGCATTCCCAATACCTAACTTTGAAATTTGGTCTCTGGCTCCTTTGGCTTTGTTATTATTAAGATCCTACTGTATGGAGACTCTGACTCCTTGCCTCATCACTTCCCCTTCCCAGTTCTTTCTTTCCCCACTCACAAATAAAAGGATAGCAGTCTTATTAAAAGGAAATTGGGGTCATGAAGAACACTTTTTTTTTTTAAAGATTTTATTTATTTATTTGATATATACAGAAAGAGTGAGAGAGAGAGAGTATAAGCAGGGGTGAGGAGTGGCAGAGAGAGAGGGAGAAACAGGCTCCCCTCAACCCCCCAAGCAGGGAGCCTGATGTGAGGCTCAATCCCAGGACCCCGAGATCATGATCTGAGCTCCAGGCAGATGTTTAACCAACTGAGCCACCTAGGCACCCCTGAAGAGCACTATTTGCTGAGTACCACTTTGCGCTGGTCCTGTGCCCAGTCCCATTCCGTGTATCTCACAAATCACAGCTACATAATCAAAGAGAACTCAGGAACACATTCTTATATTAGAAGTGCTGGCTTGGTAGGGTGACCATCATAGTTGCCTCTGCTTCCTCTTGCCCAGGAAGTGTAGCCTCCCTAATGCTAGGGGCTCATAAGCAGCTATTTCTAAGGTAGGGGAGGGTATAGAAACTCCTACTTAATGGTAGCAAAGAGGCTCCTAAGCTCTAGCATACATCTCCTCTGGGGATGAGGTGCTCACTCACTGCTAACACAACCTAGCTGGCTACTACCCAGCCAAACTATTGCACAGGAAGAGGTGTCCGCATTTCATAAATTTATTGACCTTATGTGGAGCAGTCCATAGGTCATTTTCTGGGTAGGATTAGCTCCAGGTCTGAAAGGCCTGGTCAGTGTGGGGGGGTGGTCATAAAGACTTGCTCTGGAAAGATAACCTTGGGCAGGCCATTTATCCTCTCTGAGCCTGGGTTTCCTGATCTGCAGTGAGGATGAGGAATGGGTCCACAACACATAGTGACTGGGCCCTTCCATGGGCCAGGCACTAAGCTGATACTAGTCATTCAATTCATTTAATCCTCACAAGAGCCCAGAGAAGTGAGTACTATCACCTCAATCACACAGAGGGATGTCTGTATGGGATGCAGATACTCTGGGATGCAGATAGGATAAGTAACCAAAGCTAAGTAAGTGGAGGGTGGCGGGGGCGGGACTGAGTGTCAGACCTGGACATCAGACTTCAAGGTCTAAGAACTTAACTGTTATGACACTACCTCACAGGTTTGTCCAGACAACTCAGTGATGGTGCAAAGTACCTAGCATGGTGCTCTGGAAGCACTCCTACCTCTTCCCCGGCGTATGAGCCAGGCTCATGGCAGAGCCCACAGCAAGCTCCAAGACCAGCCAGGGCCCAGGGTGTGGGAAACAAGAGCAACCTCAATCTTACTGGGCCTCTCAGCAGCCTAGGGCAAGTAGCCCACTTCTTGCACTTTTTCCTCACGTTTTCTGTGGGTTATTACAAATGTCAGGAGGGAAGTAACCAACTGATCTTCTGAAACTTCTTCCTTTCTATCTCTGCATCTTCTCTCTTTGACTTTTGTTTGTGGCTTTCATCAGGCACATACCTGGCTTAAGCTTCATGAGACCACACTGGATACACCCTGGCTGGATGGCTAGATTCTCAGCCTCTTCTCCCCAACAGGGGGTTCCCAACACACCCAGTTCCCTCCAACACCCCCTGAGGGAAGATCCCCTGCAGGGCACCCTCCCTGTCCACTCACCCTGGAGGGGCTCATCCATGCCCAACACCCCCTAAATCTCTCTCCGCAACTCAGATAACTCTCCAGAGTTCCAGGCCCCTCTCTCCAAATGCCTTGGGGGGCAGTTCTACCTCCAGCCAGTAGGCCCTAGAGGACACTTATCATTTTTTCCCTAAAACCTGCTTGCTTCTCTTCTAGAAACAGCATCACCACCTTCCTAGTTTCCTGAGGGAACTCAAGCACAGAGGCTGACAGGGAAATGCTGTGTCTGAGTCACAGAGAACCAGGGATCTCTAATCCAAGTCCAGGGAACAATGTAGTCTGCTTCTTTAGAGTTTCCAGTCTGTCTGAAATCCACACAGAAAATAAGCACTCCAACAGGATCAGTATTGGATACAGTTTGAATTCCCAAAAGCTTCCTTTTCTTCAGTTAGATTAACAATAGTAGTTGTAGACAATAGAAAGTACTTAGCATTGCCAAGTACAGTTCCAAAGCACTTTGCATGCATTAACCCATTTAACTTCCACACTAATCTTGTAGGGCAAGCACTATTGTATTTACTTTTCTAACAATTTAAATGAAGCACAGAGAAATCAAACAAGTTTCCAAGGGCACCATAGCCTATGACTGGCGGAGCTAGGACACAAGTCCAGGCAGTCTGCCTCTTAAATTCAGGCCATCTTGCTATCTTCTTATAAACTATCTAAAACAAATCCTACTGGTGGGAAATTGTATAAATAATAAATCATAAATAAAAAGTAGCTGAGGTCTGATCAACACACAGTAAATTACACAGGTTAAAAGTAAATAAAAAAAGAAAAACAAAGCTAGAGGCATCACAAATCCAGGTTTCACATCACGTCATAAAGTAATTAAAACAGTATAGTGCTTGCATAAAAATAGACATACAGATCAATGGAATAGAATAGAAAACCCAGGAAAACCCCACAATTATATGGTCAATCTTTCACAAAAGAGGAATGAATACACAATGGGAACAAGTCTCTTCAACAAATAGTGTTGGAAAAACTGTACAGCTACATGCCAAAGAATGAAACTGCATTAAAAACCTAAATGTGAGGGGATCCCTGGGTGGCGCAGCGGTTTAGCGCCTGCCTTTGGCCCAGGGCGCGATCCTGGAGACCCGGGATCGAATCCCACGTCGGGCTCCCAGTGCATGGGGCCTGCTTCTCCCTCTGCCTGTGTCTCTGCCTCTCTCTCTCTCTCTCTGTGTGTGTGACTATCATAAATAAATACAAAAAAAAAAAAGAAACATTTGACAAAAAAAACCAAAAAAACAAAACAAAAAAAAAAAAACAAACCTAAATGTGAGACCTGAAACCATAAAAATTCTCGAAGAGAGCACAGGCAGTAATTTCTCTTACATTGTCTGTAGCAACATTTTTCTAGATATGCCTGAGGCAAGGGAATTAAAGGTAAAATAAACTATTAGGACTTCATCAAGATGAAAAGCTTCTGGATGCCTGGGTGGATCAGTGGTTGAGCATCTGTCCTTGGCTCAGGGCATGATCCCAAGGTCCAGGATTGAGTCCTGCATCAGGCTCCCTGCTTCTCCCTCTGTCTATGTCTCTGCCTCTCTCTCTGTGTCTCTCATGAATAAATAAATAAAATCTTAAAAAAAATGATGAAAAGCTTCTGAACAGTGAAGGAAACAATCAACAAAATTAAAAAACAACCCTACAGAAATGGGAGAAGATACTTGCAAATGACATAGCTGATAAAAGATTAGTATCTAAAATATATAAGGAACTGATAAAACTCAACACTCTAAAACAAGATGATCCTATTAAAAATGTCAAAAGACACAGACAGACATTTCTTCAAAGAAGACATCCAGATGGCCAACAGACACATGAAAAGATGTTCATCATCACTCATCGTCAGGGAAATGCAAATCAAAACTACAATGAGGTATCATCTCACACCTTTAAGAATGGCTAACCTAAAAAACACAAGAAACAAGGGGCAATGAGAATATAGAGAAAATGGAACCCTCTTGTACTGTCGGAGGGAATATAAACTCGTGTAGCCACTATATTCTCATAATCATACTACAGAGTATGTACCAAAAAAATACAGAAACACCAATTCAAAGGGATACATACACTCCTAGGCTTACTTTAGCATTATATACAATAGCCAAATTACCAAAGCAGCCCGTTTCCATTGACAGATGAATGGCTAAAGAAGAATATTCCACACAATGGAATATTACTCAACCATAAAAAGAGTGAAATCTTCTCATCTGCAACAATATAGATGGAGTTGGAGAGTGTAATGCTAAGTGAAATAAGTCATCAGAGAAAGACAAATACTATATGACCTCACTCAATATGTGGAATTTAAGGAACAAAACAAATGAGCAAAGGAAAAAAAAGAAGAGAGAGAGACAAACCAAGGAACAGACTCTTAACTATTAGAGAACATCCTGGTAGTTGCCAGAGGGGAGCTGAGGGCAGGATAGATGAAATAGGTGATGGAGATTAAGGAGTACACTTATCATGATAAAAAATAAAATAAAACTTGTACAAAAATTTTTAAAAACTGGGTTGCATACAGTCACTTTGGGGAAAAAAGTAAATAATTTGATGTGTTTCACATATGAAGACACTTGTGATGCTATCATCACGTTACATTCAGTATGATCTCAGTTACATATATATGTATGTAGAAAACGCGGAGGTAAAAGATATACCAAATGCTAAGAATGCTATCTGGGTGACAGGATCATGGGTAATTGAAAATCTATACCTTTCTAGATGTTTCTAATTTCCTACAAAGAATGTGTACTACTTTAAAACTCAGAACAACACAAGTAATATTTTAAAGAAATGATGTGATGAATTAAAAATGAAGCCCCTCTCCTCAGGCCCACCTCCCTGATCCCTGCAGGGGGATCATATCGGATCATTGTAAGCTCCAAAGAAGGGGCTGCGTGTAGCTTGGCTAGCCCCTCAGTCCCATCACACTTACTGTATTTCAGTTCCAAGATGCTTGAGGGAAATATTCTGAAGGGCCAAGGGCATGGTAGGCACCGGCTGTAAGGCAGCTGCCACACCCACGAGCCCAGGGGGTGTTCGCACAGGGCCCAGGAAGTCGTCGGGCTCTGCTTCCTCTTGCTCTGGGGAACAAAGAGAAGGGCAATCATCCCTCGGGTCACTGCACTTGGACACATTAGACACAGTTGCTACAGGCTCGGCTCCAGGTGGGAGTCGGTGGGCTGCCCAAGCACACCTTCCTCGTAGGTTAAGAGCAACCAAAGAGGTGGGCTTTTCATCAAGTGTTCTGGGAAAATGATGCCTCTTGCTGGGCAGGTCTCTTCCTGAAAACCCCATTAAAATAGGCACAACTACAGATACTTCTACATCTGAGAATCCATCCTAAAAACACTCCTGGCACTGTCTAGCCTCAAACCGGAAATAACTCCCTCAAACTGGAAGATCTGGAGAGAAGTTAAATAAATCATGATGCCATCAGAAAACAGAATATTACTCAGCTGTTTAAAACAACACTAATGAAGAATGCTTAAAAACAGAAGGAACAGGCGTGGGATATATATATTTAAAAAATGAGTAAAAAAACTGGGGTTATAGCATGATCTCAACTGTATAGAAGAAGTCTCCCAGAAGTACACTCTGTGTATGGACTGAAGTCAGAAGTGCATGGTGGGATCAGAAGCTGGACGTCCTCATTATTGCTCTGTGTTTTTTCCCAAACTGCCTACAGTAAACATGGGTTATTTTTTTATAAACAGAAAAATAATGCATACTCACCAAAAGTAGATGTTTGTTAAAAGATTTTAAAGCATGGAGGTTTTCAGGTCATAATGTGGAGTACCAAAAAGCAAATTAGGCTCTTTGTATTATAGGATTTGAAATATGTTTAAATAAAAAGCAGGTGGGGGGTCATAATGTCATGTGAACACTGGCTGTTCTGGGTGACAATATTATGGGTACTTTTTCTTCCACTTTTCTATGTTTTATTAATCTGTTTAAACAACGATTCTTATACAGTAAGTGCTTCAAAGCATTTAGTGTCAAAGAACATTTCAAGGTTAAGGAAACGTTATTTGAGGTATAAGAGAGAGAGAGGAGGTGAATTATTTAGAAGTTGGTTTTGAGTATTACAAAAAACAGAACCGAATGAAAGCCACTTATCAGGTGGTAGGATCTGGATCAGACGGTCCCTGAGATGTGTAGGGCAGCTGATACCTTCCATTCAAGCCCTCTTACTGAGGGTAAAAAATGTGAGAGAAGGGGTAATTTTATTTTTGCACTCCATCACCAAATAGGGTGTGGGTACAAAAACATTAAATACAACGGGAGGGGCCAGTAGTGCAATCTACTCACAAACACTCTTTGCAATCAATATAATCAATTCCTAACAGGCTCTTTCACATCCGGCAGACTGGCCAGTACTTGGCAATGCCAAGTCATTCTCTTGAGCTCCTCTCTTCAGTTCACTCTCTCACCAAACCCTTTTGGCATCTGCCCAGAGGTTTCTGGGTGGAGCTGGAGAAAGGCGTAGGAAGCTTCCAGCTTAAAGAGCAGAGAGAAGTGCACGCTTCAGGAAGACCCTGTGAGTGGAAGCTGGAGGGCAAGGCAGGCAAAGTGTGGGGGAGTTCTGGGAGATGGAGACACACCATGTCACCTCCAGTCCAAAAAGACTTCTTGCAGGAGGGGCACTGGAGCAGGACCTAGAGGGCTTGAATGGATTTTGACTTGCCGAAGGAGCGAGGGAGGATCTTTCTGGGTATGTAAGTACAAGCAGCAGGAAGGGGTTCCAGACAGAGCCAAGGATGCCAGGAGGTACCAGAGACAAGGAGGCTAGGAAGGACAAGATGGGCCGGGGTGTGCTAAGAGGGGAGCTCATCTGGCTGGGCCCACAGGGCCCCCTGGGGGAGTCAACAGAAGCCCCCAAGGAATCTGGGCGACAGCTGTGGACTTGGAAGACCTGAAGCCAAGTCATGTTTCTGTTGGAAGGGTGCTGTGACCAGGCTGGAAATCACATTTTCTCTTCCAGTGTCAGATTCTACATTTTTACAACGGGAATGATACTCTCCACCCTGTCTCCTTCCGAGGTAAAGTATCTGAACATATTTAGAAAACCATAAAGCCCCAGTCTGTGGACTTGCATCTTTCAATCCAGACTTTGAGCTGATTCAAAATAATTAAGGTCTTCTGGTGTAGCAATACTTTAACCATTTCTATTCTCCCTCATTCAAAACAAAGACGTGTGCAATTTGTCTAAGAATTTAATGTCTTGGGGATCCCTGGGTGGCGCAGCGGTTTGGCGCCTGCCTTTGGCCCAGGGCGCAATCCTGGAGACCTGGGATCGAATCCCACATCGGGTTCCCGGTGCATGGAGCCTGCTTCTCCCTCTGCCTGTGTCTCTGCCTCTCTCTCTCTCTGTGTGACTATCATAAATAAAAAAAATAAAAAAATAAAAAAATAAAAAATAAATAAATAAATAAATAAAAAAGAATTTAATGTCTTGGTGAGTACCTCCCTAGCTGCCTAGCTGTTTTCCTCTTACTTCCACCTGTGGCTGTAACCTTCCTCTGAGGTCACACCAGCTAAGTCCTGGGGATAAATGTCACCACCGGTTGCATTCACCAGTGAGGAAATGGCAGCTCAGAAGGTTTTTTGTGGCCAGGGTCACACAGCTGGCAGCAGAGTCATACCCTCACAGTTCCTTGCTTTTCCACTAAAACTGCGTGGCTTGTCAAAGCAGGCTTTGTGACAGGCAGATAGTTCCAAGAAGGGAGAGGCTGCCCGGAAAGGCACAAGCCCCAGTGCAAGGAGGTGTTCAAGGATGGTGATGGTGATGATGAAGGCCACAGTGAAGGTCAGTATTTCCCGCAGGAAACAGTACTGATGACTCAAGGCTCTGGCGTGGGGGCCTTTGGGCCCACCCTCAGCAAGGAGACCACACCAAGAATTTCTAGCAGTGTTTATCTGTCATTCTCTCTTTGTCTGAGCGGCATGGGCTGCTCTATCACCAGTAGGAAGTCGTTGCCCAACGACAAAGGCCAGGGCCAGCAGCCCACTTCCTTGGAGGGCCCTGGACGTGGCAGTTGCTTCCTCAGCATGACGGGGTTGTGAGCCTGGAGACAACCGTTTGCTCTGTGACCTTTAACAGGTCCCTTGTCCTCTTCGAGCCTCTGTTTCCTCTTCTTAAGACGTGAACAACACTACCTGGTAACATTGAGATGAGGATCCAATAATGTGTAAAGTGTCGGGACCACGTAAGCGGTATGCATCTTTTTGTGATAATATCTACCTACACATGTGCTATTTTGTGTTAATTGTTGTCCTACTTTGGCAACATATAAATTATAAATTGGTTTGCCCTCAATCGTTCTCAGCTCTTTTGGAGACCAGCGTTTAGGTAAAGCATGGAATAAAGGTGTAAATGCTTAAAAGCTGTAGAGAGGGGAACGTGCCTGGTGGATTGCTCAATGGCAGTGATAGGACACTTTTTACCAGATGAAGCATCTGTGACTCAAAGTCAGATGTGAGTCAGTTGGTTTTCACTGCTCTGGGAGTAGGCTCTGCTTCCCCCCAGGAAGGGTGGAGACTAGAGGTGGGGTAACCCGCTCCAGACAGCAGCTCCAGGGTCTCTCAGCTTGAGCACAACTCTAGATCCATCTTCTGGGTGGGCTGGGGAAGGTTTCACAGTGACCTCGTTGGAGAGGGTGAAGGCTTGCTGTGGGAGCAGAGAGGCTTTAAGAGAAGCCCACATCCCAGCTTCCTGTGTCTCCCACCAGTGTCCCCCTTGGGAAACTGGTCCTCTCTCCCCACCCTCCCAGCAGGAGCTGGCCCAGAAGCACACTATTAAGTGTGCTAAATCAGAACCACAGAATTCCAGAACTCGGAAAGAGTTCGGCACAGAAGAACCCTGTGGGATCCCAAAGTTCTTTCAGTTCCAATTTCAGTTTCAGATATACAAGAATTCTGTTACCAGGACAGTTTCTTGTTGCTTCTAATCTGAGGCTGATCTCCAGCAATAGTGCTGACCTCAAGCTGCAGTTTTGCATGCAGCCAGGGTTGTCTAGCTCTCTGGCAGATGGGGAATGGAGGGTAGAAAGGAAGTAGGGAAGTGCAAACAAACCCTTCCCCAAAGACAGCCCTTACAAGCATGAAACACCCAGAAGGTTCTTGGAGGAAATGAGTGATAAGTATTATTAACAATAAAAAACCAGTAGGCATTTTAAGAGTGGTACTGTACACGTACACATGTAACAACATTATTAGGACAGCTACTATGCATTGAGCAATTACTATATGCCTGGCATTAGGCTAAGGGTTTTATATTCCCTTTCTCATTTAATAATAAAATCCAGTGCATTCACTCACAAATATCCAGTATGTCAGGCAGGACACCTGGTACTGGGGACACAAGTGACAAAGACATGGCCTCCACCCTTGAGGGCAGAGACTGACAAGGATGCTATAATGAGAACATGCGACAGGCCCTGCTAGAACCATGTGAACAAAGGGCTGAGGGCTTATACAGAGTCCGGTGGGCAGAGTGCTGGGAGGCTTCCAAGGGGAGGTTGGCAAGAGCAGAAGGCAACACTGAAGTGTGGCTATAAAGAATAAGCAGGAACTTGCCAGAGAGACTTGGCTCTGGTGCTGCTGAAGCTCGCAGCAAGAGGCAGCCACTGAGGGTGCAGACAGAGGTAAGGCGAGGGAGGAAGAGCCCTGAGCACTGGGCTAAAAAGCTGGGCCTGGGACATTGCAAGGGGTGGTGGTGGTGGTGGGGTAGACCATGCAAGAGGATGAGGTCCAGTGCTCACTTTAGAAAGCCCACTTGGGGGATGCCTGGGTGGCTCAGCGGTTGAGTGTCTGCCTTCAGCTCAGGTCGTGATCTCAGGGTCCTGGGATCAAGTCCCTCACTGGGCTCCCTGCATGGAGCCTGCTTTTCCCTCTGCCTGTGTCTCTGCCTCTCTCTGTGTGTCTCATGAATAAATAAATAAAATCTTAAAAAAAAAAAAGAAGAAGAAGAAGAAAAAAGCCCCCTCAGGCTGCAGTGGGGCAGATGGGTCCGAGGTGGCAGGCTGGGACACAGGACAGGGGCGAGAAGCCTGCTGGGATTTTCCAGTGAGGATCTAGGGCCTGACCCAAGGCAATGACTGTGAGCAGAGGCCACTGTGAGGCAGAGGCTGGGGGCAGACATGGCCAGTGTGGTGACTGAGCGGCTTGGCTCACCGAGACTGCTGAAGGGGTGAGGGCAGCTCCCTGTTACTGGAGCAACTGGGTAAACGAGGGTCAGAGTAAGTGGGGGGGGGGGCTGGGGGAGCAGACGGTCAAGGGCAGGTGAGCTCAGTATGGCACATGCAAAACATCCAGGTCCGGAGGTCCAGAGCCGCCTGGCCATAAGTCATGCCCTTGCCTATTCGGCCTCCCTGCCACCCGGGGATAAGGGTCTGAGCCACGCTGCATCACTGAGCTGTGACAAGGCTCCAAGCTCTTACAGGGGCGGCTGGGAGTGGTCTGCCCCATCCTCCACCTGCTAACCGTATTGCCAGTCGCGCTGTGATGTGGGGATGGCAGGGGATGATCTCTAGGACTCCTCCACACTGGAGACGTCCTAGGATTTGAGATCAAGAAACTTCCTTTGCGGGCCACATGTGAGTGATGGTTTCTGCCTTACGGAAATACTACGGACACAATCACTGATCCCCGACTCGCAGCACAAAAGCATGCGTGTCAGAAGCAGCAACAATCACTGCTCACCAACCTGCCTCACAGCAACAGTGCTCAAGTTTCATTTCTCCAGACCTTCCCATAATAGTCATCAAAATAGCAGCTGCTGTTTCCTGAGCTCTGTCGATGTGCAGGCATTGTCCCAACCACTTAAGGTGTATGGATTCATTTAATCCTCATAATAACCCTGAGGAGTAGGTCTAACTTATCAAGCTCATTTTATATGGAAGGAAACTGGAGCTCAGAAAGACTAAGCAACTTGCTTAAGACCACACAGGATTAGGATCTAAACCCAGACGTCCTAGCCTCGGAGCCCCTATTCCTGCCCTCCATGCTACATGGTATCCTAACTGATACTGACTCCCATCTCTGGCAGTTTGCTTCCTTAGCACAGGCTCCTCCCCACTCACCCCAAATGGGAGGGGAGAGGCTGGGTCACTGAGAGCCCTGAGGGTGTGGGCAGGAGGCAAACCCATTGGGTACCTAGCTCGAGGCGCAGGGCGGGCCCATTCCCAGCCAGGGCAGCATCGGGGGCGGCGGGAGGTGCAGGCGGGCTGTTGTAGAACTCCCAGCGCTTCATCTGCAGCTGCTGCAGCCAGTATAGCATCACTTGCTTGGTGGCGGCCTGAGAAGCACAAGGGTTAATTGGTATGGCCCTGTGTCCTCAGGGTGGCACTGGGTGTAGAATGTGGGAAGCTCATGGGAGGCTTGGTAATTCTCTCCCTCCCAGAAAAAAAGTTGTCATTGCAGATGGGTTCCCACCTCTGAAACACCACCTATTTCTTGGCCACAGAAGATAATCAGGCTCCAGTCCCAAACTCTCAGGTTCCTTAAACTTTCTGGGTCTCAGTTTTCTCATCTGGGCTGTGATGATGACAGCACTCCTGTCACAGGGCAGTTACGAGGATGCGATGAGGTAAGGGAAGTGAAGCGACCAGCACAGTAGCTGTCACACTCCAAGGGATCAAAATGTGCTCCCTGGACAAGGGCATTTGGTGGTGGTGGACAAGGACAGGGAGAGAGCTTGGAAATTCTGGCCTGTGTGGGGCCCTGGAACCATCACCATCTCCCTGTGCGACAATGCAATGTTTTTTAACTGACTGTGTTTCATAAGAAACATATATTATTGAAATGACCAAAAATATATTTTTCATATGTATTTGATCTTTGTCCATGGTTTCTGGCTCACAGCTCCTAAATCCCTTGGAATTTCCTGGGATAAGGGTGAAAAAGATGACTTTTGTTGTTTTAATACGGTAACTCTCGGAAAGCCCTTAGGTGACCCAATGATGGGGGGCTGATTGCCAGGAGAACCAATCCTGTGATTAGAGGCTAGGACTTTTCAGTTCCACCCCTGCCCTCTCAGGAGGAGAGAGTGGTAAACTACTTAGTAATCGTGACTAGGTAATGAAGTCTCCAAAACCCCAAAGGACTGGCTTTGGAGAGCTTCTGGGTTGGTGAAAACAGAGATGTGGAGAGAGTGGCACACACCTGGAGAGGTTGTGGAAGTTCCTGCCCCTTCCCCATACTTTGCTCTGTGCATCTCTTCATCTGGCTGTTGATTGGTTTCCTTCATCATATCCTTTAATAAACTGGTAAGTTTATTTTTTTTTATTTTTATTTTTTTAGTTATTTATGATAGAGCGAGAGAGAGAGGCAGAGACACAGGCAGAGGGAGAAGCAGGCTCCATACACTGGGAGCCCGATGTGGGATTCGATCCCGGGTCTCCAAGATCGCACCCTGGGCCAAAGGCAGGTGCTAAACTGCTGAGCCACCCAGGAATCCCCTAAACTGGTAAGTTTAAGTGTTTCTCTGAGTTCTGGGAGCCACTCTAGCAAACTAATGGAACCTGAGGAGGAGGTCATTGGAAACTCCAATCTGTAGCTGGCTGTCACACACACATGTGACAGCCTGGGGCTTGTGACTGGCATCTAAAGGTATGGGGTCAGTCTTCTAGAACTGAGCCCTTAACCTGTGGGATCTGATGCTGTCTTTGGATAGACAAGTGTTAGAATTGATTTGGGAGTGCCTGGCTGGCTCAGTTCGTAGAGCATGCAACACTTGATCTCAGGGTTGTGAGTTTGAGCCCCACATTGAGTATGGAGCCGACTTAGAGAGAGAGAGGGAGAGAGAGAGAGAGAGAACTGAGTTGAATTCTCAGGCACCAGCTGGTATCTGAGACTTGCTTGGTGTTGGGGAGGTAGGGTGGGGTGCACCCTCCATGCTCCACATTGGAACTGGGTCCAGAAATCCTAAAAGATTGACTTTTTAATGAAATGGAGAGAATCTCTCCTTTGTTTTGGGGATGCATAGAAATCATGAATATGACTGGGGACTGGAAAGCCATATGCACATAGTAACAACACAGTGGCACCCTCCAGGTACCCCAAACAAGGCAATGGTTGATGGGGATCATTAGTCTCCCAGCCTTGGATGATCCAAATATCTATTTTCACATCTATTCTGTTGTCGGATCCTCCAGGAGGGAGGCAGTGCAGGCGTGATCAGGCCTTCTGTGGATAGAGAACTGAAGTTCTCAGGCAGGCAGTGACGGAGCTGGTCCCAGGACCTAGGTCTCCTCCGGCTCACCAGAGCTTTTTGGTAAATATGGCCAGAAACTGTGGCTTGCATAGAGAAGGCCTGGGATCAGCTGCGCCAAGGAAGCCCGGCAGCTCACTGGGAGTGGATAGTGAGCCTCACAGAGCTGCCTACAAGCCATGTGAGCACAGCAGCAGGCAGCAGGCTGTGGGCAACCAAAGACTCCTCATTCTAACTAGTCCACAGGTAAGGTGTGCACGAGGCTGGGGGCTCCATGAAAGAGGCCCTCGGCCTGTCAGGGAGCTACCACAGAAGACTGCCCACCAGTCTTCTCTTTCTATACACTCTCCCTGAGAGACCTCAGCCCCTCCAGGGCTTCACCATGACCCTGTGCTGACAAGCTCTGGCCCATACCCAAATACCCAATTTTATTAATTAGCAGGAGCACCTACTATATATGTCATGGTCTCGTCCTCTTGGAACTTAAGAGTCTACTGACAGCCACCCCATCCTGAGCTCCTCCTGTCATGACTGGGCCAACTGGACAGTCAGCCATCCCTGACTCCTCCCTTGCATCCCCCCTCATCACATCCCGGGTCACCCCCATTTGTCCTCCTCCCCCTGTCACAGCTCTAGCTCAATCACCATTCTCTACCGATCACCTCCTGACGGACTTGCTGACCAGCAGCCTTGCCTTCTAATTTTTTCTCTACTCAACAGCTGCACTGAACCTTCTAAACATTCTAATCTCAAAGGCTTTCTTGCTTTAAGCTCTTTGACAATTTCCCACAGCCCACGGGACAAAGTCCAAGCTCCCAGGCCTAACTCACAAATGCCTCATGCTTGGGCCTCCGTTCTCCCACTCCATCTTTTGGGCCCGTCTGTACCCCAGGCTCCTGTGATTTGCCAGGACACTCTGGACTGTATCATGTTTCCTGTCTTTGCTCACGGAACACCCATGGCCAGGAATAACCCTTCTCCCTCCTGTCTGCTCATAGAAAACCAAATCCCTTTTTTGGGCCTCAGGTGTCATCTCGTCCTCTGTTGTTTCCTCCTGGGCGGACCCTTCCACTCAGCAGAAGCGACCCCTCCTGTCACACTTTTCTGGTACAGACTTATCAGAACGTCTCTACAGAACACTGCACTGTGTGTGCCAGTCTCCCTCTCCTTCCCTCATCAGACCTTACTCAAGCTGTTTGAGAACCAGGCAGCACGTCTGATCGGGCTCCACGCCCCAGTGCTTAGCACAGAGCCAGGCACAGACATAGATCAATTGAACAGTTAAAGACAGGTGTTGGAGACCCTGTAAGATAACGCTCAGCCTGTGGGAGGGAACGCATGACCCATAAACCACATGACCTCCCAAATGCATGCCTTCCCGGGCCTGGAATTCCAGGTTTGCGTTATTTTATCTGATTTCCCCAGCCAGGTCACCAGTCAGGCCCAGCCATTAAAGGGGAACGGAAACTGTGGGCTACATCCAGGGGCTCGATGGATGCCCAGTTGGCTGGAAGCCAGGATGGAAGGGCAGGAAGACGGAGTGGTGTCCGGGAGGCTGTCTCCTGGCACATTCTTCTTTGATGAGTGTGAATCCCGGAACCCTCAGCTCAGATGTGTCTTTCCGCTCAAGTTCTGGGGCACCTCTTCCTAACGTGAACATTAAGACCTATTATTATCATCATTTGGGTTCATTAAACAAGAATTGATTGAGCACCCACGAGGTGTTGGGCTGCATCTAGACGCTGGGATTAATTCAACAATTTGTAGGTGCCAGATGCTTACATACCTTGTTTTAAATCTCACAAACTACCTAGATTCTGGGAGGTTAAGTAACTTGCCCGGGTGACACAGCTACTAAGTACCTGATGGAGAATCTGAATCCAAGCCGGGCTGATTTCAAAGCATGTGGCTTTCCCACTGTTTCAGGCTTTCTCAGTTCAAGGTGATAATAAAATAAAACCTACTGACGGCAAAACACGTTTAGTCATGCCTCTGCGAACATTTTAGGCTGATCCGAGAAACCTAAGTATTTTATCTCCCAATCCCCGCCAACATTTGCTCAGCATTCACTCCCCTTGGCCAAAATATCAAGGAGAGTGATTCAGAATCCAGGCCAGGAGCGGATTACACAGCTCATATCCTGACTCTCTTTCAGCCCCAAGTAAGAAAGTTAAGGTAACTGCATTGTTAAGGCACAACAAAAAGTAAAAGTCTCGAGACACAACTGAGGAAGTAGGAAGACTCAGGGATTCCAAGTGTGGTCTACACCGCTCCGGACACGCATGACCCCTAGCTGGTCACTTCGTTTCTCTAAGACTCAGTTTATAAATTCTAGTGTGGGTGCATCACCCCGCCTTTGCCGTGGGCGCCCAATGAGGAAATGGGTGTGAATGCGTTTTGGAGTCCACTAAACCGTGGGCGCCCAGGGTTCACTGGAAGAGATCAGAGTCTGTAATTCTTGTTCCAGTGAATTTACTGTGACCACCACACGTGCCCAGCCGTGCCCTGGGAACCCATCCTGGCTGAAAAAGAGGGGGGAAACTGCCCCATTTACCTTCAGGGTAATAATCCGGTTGGCAGTCTTGATTTCAAAAGTCCCCTCCTCGGCGTCCGCCTTGCAGTCGAAGACCGCAGTGGAGAGGTCGATGCTGTCCAAGGGATTGGCATCCTGCGCGGTCCGTGAGTAATACAGGTGACATTTCTTCTCGTCGTAGAAGAACCAGCGGGATTTCCAGCCCCGAATGGGACCTTTGCCGCCAAATTTACTTAAATAGCCACAGAGTTTCTTGGGGGCCGCCCCCGACTCCTCCGGAGGCAGCACCTCTGCGAACCTGGGGACGGAGGAGCTACACTCTGCGGGGTCCTCCTGGGCGCCCTCCATTCCGACTGAGGCTCGGCTGCCGGCGCGGGCCCAACCTCGGAGACTCCGGGGGTGCTCCCAAGAGGGAGAAATCTGGGCGGGGGCGGGGCCGGTGGCGACCCGCCCCCCCGGAGACGGCAGGAATGCGGACGGCGGCGGCCAGCGCGCCTTTCACAGAGAGTCCAGGTGGGGCGACTGGCCACGCCCCTCCCGACCTCAAGGCGGCCAGGCCACGCCCTCGCCACGCCTAACCACGCCCCCTTCCCCGCACCGCCCAGCCCGCCTACTTCCGGCTTTTACTCCGCGCCGGTCAGCCATCTTTAGTGAGGGCACCTGCGGACCGTGAGAGCGCCCTCAGGTTGAAGGCGTGGTGTCCCTGAGCTACGTTAACTGGCGGCAGAGAAGCGAGAAGAGACACCCGCCTCTGACTAGGCTGCCCTGCTACCTCGCGTAATAATGTACAAGGACAGTTCATTTTGCGCCTGAAGGGCCGTCTGCCTTTACCGCCCAGGTGCCGTGCAGGTCACCCTCGAACGGCGCATTCCGCGGCCATTGGCTGAGAGGGACGGCGGGTGGATGACGCAACTTCCGGCGCCGCTCGGGGCGCTAGCGAGTCCTGGGTCTCTGCAGGCTTCAATCCGGGGGGCTCGTTCAGCTTGCTGAGGACTTTACACTGAGTGCAGCGGCCTCCGCTGCACCTGCTCCGGTTCCTACTCGCCTCCCTGCGGCCCAAGTCACTATAGGTAGGGCGCCCAGGCCCGGCTGCAGCTAAGTGATGACGCTAAAATCCTACGTAAAATATTTGCAAACCGGTTCTGGTGTTTCACCAAAGAATTACATACTGCACCTGGAAGGAGCTATTTTAGAGCTGCAGGCATATTTGAATAACAGGAGAAAAAGAAATTACATCTGTGGTGCCAAAGATACGGTCGTCTTAATATTTTCTGAAAAGGTATTTGATTAAAAAGATATTTTCTAAAAAGGTATTTGATCAAGTTCACCATCCATTTCTGGAGTTTTAAAAGACGTCTTGATTATTATGGAAGTATAGTTGACACACAATGTTTCAAAATTTCTTAATAAGGGATCCCTGGGTGGCGCAGCGGTTCGGCGCCTGCCTTTCTTTGGCCCAGGGCGCGATCCTGGAGACCTGGGATCGAATCCCACATCGGGCTCCCGGTGCATGGAGCCTGCTTCTCCCTCTGCCTATGTCCCTGCCTCTGCCTCTCTCTCTCTCTGTGACTATCATAAATAAATAAAAATTAAAAAACAAACAAACAAACAAGACTTCTTAATAAAACAAATAGCACATCTTGTTTAGATTTTCTAGCTAACTAATGGTAGATATTTGCAATAATAATAATTTCAAATATACGACTTAAATTTGAAAAACTCAGGAGTTTTCCCACTAATAGTTCAGGATCTAATCCAGGATTCCACATTTGGTCATCATGTTCCCTTAGTTCCTCTGAGCTATGACGTATTTCAGCTTTTCCTTTATTTTATTTTATTTTTTATGACTCTGACATTTTTTTAAGGGTGCTGGTCAGTTTTATAGAATTCTGTGAATTTGAGTTTGGTGTTTTCTCATTAGATTGGGGTGATGGGCTTTGGGGGAGACCACGACAAGAGGGGAAGTGCCTCTCTCATCCCATAATATCCAGCTATGTGATATGCACATGGTGATGGTAGACCTCCTTCACATAGTTAAGATGATTTCTTGGCTAAAAAGTTACCATTTTTAACACTCTTTAAGTCTCAAGAAGCTCCACCTTCTGGAGGGTAGAGGAGGGTAGTTGATAGGATTTTTTGCAGCCTATTAAAGTGATTCTAAGGTTCATTTCCAAGAGTGAACAGGTGAGAGTAGCTAAATTTTTGAAGAAAAAAAAAGAACAGAAAGGATTTGATCTACCATTCAAACTTATTAATTCAACCAAAAAATATTCATTGGGTGCCTTCTACCAGGCACCATTTAAGATGCAGGGCCACAGTGATGAACAGGACAAGTCCAAGATCCCACTAAGCTGTCATTCTAGTCCAAGGAGACAGGCCATAGACAAGTAAACAAGTAAATATCATGGTGACCTCAGATTCTCATACTTTCTAGGAAGAAGTGAACAGAATGATAAGAACAACAGAATTTAATGTTTCTGGTGTAGGGACAGGCACATCAATGGAGCAAAGTAAGTTCAGAAAAACATACAAATAAGTGTGGGAATGTGGTACAGGGCAGGGTTTCTCAACCTTTCCCCCCATTATTATCCCTAAAGGAGTCTTTTCAGACTTTTTCCCTAATCACCACCTCCCATAAAATTTTAATACCACAGATATAACATGTATCTCTATGTACTGCACATATGTCTGTGCTTTAAACATAAAAAGAGTAGGATTTTTCTTCTGTGCCCCAAGACCAATTTTCAACCCGTTGGGGGTGATGTCCCTTTTGAGAAAACATTGTATTGGAATGTCAGATAAAGTTAGAATTTCAAATCAGCTCTTCAGTAAGTTAGTTTAGATATTCCCATAATATTGTATATCAAATCGTGTTTATGTACATTAGAAAATTATACCTTAAAATGAAAGCATAATATATATTTAAACGGAGTGTTATTCAGCCTTAAATAGGAACAAAATTCTGATAGATGCTATGATATGGATGAGCCTTGTAAATATTCTGCTAAGTGAAATGAACAAGACCCCGAAGGACAAATATTGTATAGTTCCACTTAAATGAGGTACCTAGAATAGGCAAAATGCCTATTCTAGGTACTTAGAATAGGCAAATTTCTCTATGAGAAAGTGTAATAGAAATTACAAGGGGATGGGGAGGGAGAAATGAGGAATTATTGTTTAATGGGTATAGAGTTTCTGTTTGGGATGATGAAACACTTCTAGAAATGTATAGTGGTAATTGTTGTAGGATACTGTGAATATGCTTGATACCACTGAATTGCCACTTAAAAATGGTTAAAATAGTAAATTTTGTTATATATATTTTGCCACAATACAGAATTTTTTAAGTGAGACCATAAAATACCCAAAGAAAATAAAGGCAGATATTTATATACTCTTGGATCGAGGAGAGGAAGGCCTTCATGAGCCCAACATCAAAAACAGCACACAGAAAGCAAAATATTGCTGGATTGACCTTAGAAATATTACAAATGTGTGTGCCAGAAAATCTCAGGAACCACCTAAAAAGACAAGTATGAGTGAGAACATTTTTTGAAACACATTTGTAACACGTGACACGGGGTTAATATTTATAAGCAGCACACACAAGTCAATAAGTCAGAGAAGCAGTGAAAATAATGGACAGATCAACAATCCATTCACACACACAAAAAAAGACTAAATGTGTAAACAGCAGAACCTTTTAACTACTTCAGTAATTTTGACCTATAATATTGATCAGATTATTTTTAGGAGCGGGGGAGGCTGTAATCTTCATCTCTTAAATGGGGAAAACAGCCATGCCAGTCTCCTGGGGGAAGGATCAGAGGAGATTGGTGGAAATTGGGACAAGGAAGACGGAAGATAACTTGGCAACTTCCCAAAAGTCCTGAAGCTTGCATGTCCTGTGGTTTAGGAGTTCCATTTCTAAGAGTTTGTCATAAAAAAAAAAAATCATACATGCTTACAAATATGTTCATCACAGCATTACTTACTACTTCAAAAAATAGAAAACAATATAAATGTCCAAAAATCTGAAGCTGGTTAGGTAACTGATTAAGTACTTTTTGCAGGAGGATATGGATTGATATGGAAAATACTAGGTTAACAAAGCAGACCACAGAACTATTTTCACAGAAGTTACTATTTGGTTATATATATATATATATATATATATATATATATATATACACACACATATATATATATATCTTATATATACAATTTAAATATAAATATATACAATTTATATATCTTATATATAAATTTAAAGATTGGAAAGATGATGCATAATGTTGGTAGCATTTTCTCCAGGGTGTGGGATGAAGAATAATTCTCATTTTCTCATATTCTTCTTTTTTGCTTTTCTGTATTTTCCACAGTTTAAAAAAATATAATTTAAATCTTTAAAAAAGGGGCACCTGGGTGGCTTGGTGGTTGAGCGTTTGCCTTTGGCTCAGGTTGTGATCCCCGGGTCCTGGGATCAGCTTCTGCATTGGGCTACCTGCAGGGAGCCTACTTCTCCCTCTGCCTAGGCTCTGCCTCTCTCTGTGTGTCTCTCATGAATAAATAAAAAGAATCTTTAAAAAATAAAAAAATAAGTCTTTAAAAAATGTAAGTACACATCTGTTCCTGTTCTTAAGCAGCTCCAAAGTTGGATATAATTTCTTACTTCAAGAATGGGGATCATACAGACTTCCAGGTGTAAAATAGTCACAGGAATGAAAAGTACAGCCTGGGGAATATCATCAGTAGTCTTGTAATAACTTTGTATGGTGACAGATGGTGACGACACTTATCGTGGAGAGCATTAAAGAAAAAAATAAAAGAATAGAGATCATAAACCTTTTCTCTGAGCTACAGGAAACAATCAAGAAAGTCACATACAAAAAGCAGATTAAGTTAAGGAACTTTATTAGAGAAAGAAATACATGACATCCAACTCTTGGGAGCTGTAGATTAAGAACACAGACTAGAATACCATCATTGTCATGGTAAAGAGTTGGAGGGAGTAATGCAGGTTTCTAAACTTTTCCACCCTGTTGCAAATTGAATTATGTCTCCTCTAAATTCATGTGTTGAAGCCCTCACTGCCCCCTCCCCCAGGACCTCAGAATGTGACTATTTTTTAAGATAGGGCCCTTAAAGAAGTGATTAAGGCAAAATGAGGTTCCAGTCTGACTGAGAAGGTTAGGACACAGACCAGATGGGGGAAGACCACGTAAAAACAAGGAGAAGACAGCCGGCTATCTAAAACCAAAGGAGGGAGACCTTAGCTGACATCAGCCCTGTTGACTTCTTGATCTTGGGTTTCTAGCCTCCAGAATTGTGAGAAAATAAATGTCTCTTGTTTCAACCACACAATCTATACTTTGGCAGCCTGACCAAACAAATACACACAAATACACAACAAAATGAGCTTCCTTGGAAACCCATCCAAGACACAGCCCAAGGTGTCTTAGAGCACCCAGGAAAACTCTTTGAAGCCTTATGTT